CCACTCCCCCTAGAAAATTTTACAATTTTACGACGCTATTTGATGCTTTCTGGGAACTTTCAAAGTGTATGAGTTAATTAAAGAATTTGAGAAAATCACAATTTTTTTTTTTGGGGGGGGGGTCAAGGGGGGGGGCAGAGAGGGGGGGTTATGCAAGTGCAAGATGCAAGAGGGGGAGTATTAGTCCCCCAGAAACACATACTATATCAAGGAGCTATTTGATGATATCTGGGCACTTTAAAAGTGTCTGAGACAAAACTCCAAAATAAATTTAGAACTTTTCCATTGTTTTGTGGGGGGGGGGTGTGAGGGGTTGCCAATACCCCTAGAAAATTTTACAATTTTAAGATGCTATTTGGTGCTTTCTGGGTACTTTCAAAGTGTATGAGTCAATGAAAAAAAATTACAAAAAAAAAAAATTATTTTGGGGGGTGACAAAGGGGGGTGCGGTCGCACCCATCGCACCTCCCCCATCTGACGGCCCTGCCCTGGCCAAATATTCCTTCACAAAATTGTCAAAAGTGAACCTCCTCTGGAATTTTTCAAAAGGTGAATCACCCTAGGCAAATCCTTGCTACGGGCCTGAAACATAATCCAAAATTGTTTTGTTGATGAATTTTTCATGTGAAATTGAAACCATTTGAAATCATTATTCTTCTTTTAATGGAAGTCAAACAATTAAATTATAATGGAGGTTGTTACACGAGAAGACAAAGCGCATGATCAATGGTATCATTGGCCTACTTTAATTTGGGAGTTGTTACGTTATACAGTATATAAACTGATGATGATGGCTAAATTAGAGAAACAATTCATTATGTAGATCACAATGTCAAGTGAAGGACGTCTTTGTGCATCTGAGGTAACATGCAGATCTAGTTCTTAAAATACGTAACAATGAAATACAAATAAAGTTATTTGGAATATAAATCAACAAAAAGCTACAATATTATATAGTTCATATATAGTCGGTGTTATATACATATATTGCAATACAGAGCAGAAGTAACCTGATTGTGAAGACCGACCAAGATTGCGGCAGAAAATATACAAATTAACAAAGGACAAATACAATTTGAACATTTCTGCGTTCTTCATTTTGAATAACCTGCCAAATAAGTTTTAGTCCCGAATGAAATCAGTGCAAAACAATTCGACAGATTTGAAGTAAATGACAAATGTAAAACCATCTCAACAGGACTAGTTACTATGACAACTACACAACATTGGAGAACAGTACATACATTTATACATATATTGCATTACAGAGCAGAAGGGACCTGGTTGTGAACACCTACCAAGATTGCCACAGAGAATGAACATGTCTTAAACAGGTAATTTACACAAATGAATTCAATTGGAACATTTTTACCTATGGGAGAAGTTTGAGAAGTTTTGTTCCTGAAAGACATCAATACCAAACAATTTAACAGATTTGATAATAAGTAAATGACAATGTGTGACCATCTCAACTGGACCAGTTGCTATGACAACCTAACAACATTGGAGAACAGTACATTGATCACAGACATATTTGAAAACAGGTTGTCAGGAAGAATATTTGCAATTTCAATTGTAATTAACATTTTTCTAATACTGGTCACAAATGCACTCTTGGTTTTAGTCATTTTGCAGCACAGGGAGTTCCACACTCCTACAAACTACTGCCTTTTTTCATTATGTGCTGGGAACATATTTGGTCTTTTTACACTAACAATACTGGCCATTAGTTTCTATGTGGTACACCTACAGCACTTTCTGGAATGTGTGGCATCAGTATCACTTGCTTATTCACAGTTGTTAATTGTAGCATTGATGTTGTTACTTGTAGGAATAGAGAAATATATAATGATAGTATACCCATTACGATTTAATACAATCGTTACAACAAGACGCATGCTAGGGGCAATTGTTACATGTTGGGTGTACAGTATCATTATAGCACTGGTACCCATTTTTGGTCTAAACACCTATGTCATTTACATATTTCCTAATCTCAATGAGAATCAGATTGAAACTGCAACATGGTCCATGATTGCATGTGTTCCTGATTATGCAATTACATCAAGTTATACTGGATTATTTTTTCTGGGTAACTTTTACCCAATTATAATATTCCTTATTTGTTTGTACATTCGTATTATCATAATAGCACATAAGCAAGCACAGAAAATAAATTCATTTGAACAAACAAGCCAAGAAAATAAGGGAATTTCCTTTAGAAAATATTTCAAAAGTTTACGAACAGTAATTGCTATATTAGGCTATTTAATTGTGACATGGGTACCATGGGGCTTTGTTCAACTTAATGAGTATGATTGGCTGCAGATTGAGTATATTCCATTTGGAATGAGTACAAGGGGTTCTCTAGTACTGAGGGCTCTCCTTGCAGGAATGGGAACTCTAAACTGTGTTTACAATCCCATTGTATGTATACTCCTCAACAGAGACATGCGCCACATAGCAAGAAAAATGCTTTGCCCTAAATGTTTCTAACAACAATAGGATTCGAAGACATAAAATGGTTTGCAAGGAATGCCCTATAGCACTGGTCCATCAAATAATAATTAATTATGTAAAAATTATGTATTAAGAATTGACAGAAAATAGATTGTAAGAAGTAGTTTCTGGTCAGACTAGCCCTGAATGATCCCTTGAATCTATTTCTCAAGTGGATGCAAGGTTTTCCAAATTGAACAATAAGTTGATCTCATTTTTGACCTATGTCATCAGGAATCGGTTGCTTAAATATTTCCACTTCTTTGGTGTGACAAAGGAGGGTGATTTATTAGATTTGTCTATTGCAGCATGGACTTTCAGATTCTTATTTAGATTATTTTGTTGTGCATGTCTTTACTGTTGTCATATTAAATTTTACTTTTTTGAGTATGAACTCAATCATAATGGAATAAGGTATTGATATAACAAAATATCAATGGTACTGCAAGCATCAAGTACCTTAACTTGGGAATTTCTTTGTGTTGTCTAACAAAATATCAATGGTACTGCAAGCATCAAGTACCTTAACTTGGGAGTTTCTTTGTGTTGTCTAACAAAATATCAATGGTACTGAAAGCATCAAGTACCTTAACTTGGGAGTTTCTTTGTGTTGTCTAACAAAATATCAATGGTACTGCAAGCATCAAGTACCTTAACTTGGGAGTTTCTTTGTGTTGTCTATGAAAAATATATTATTTTCTGTTATAAATATATTGAATTATGTAAATAAACTAATTGAAATCTAAGTAAAATGTGCTGTTACATGTTTGTTCACATCCAAGTTTAGAGCACAGTCAATACTATTTTTGAAGTTAGAAATAGTACTAAAAGCATAAACTATTCTATATGATGTGCTGATATAAAAACAGACACTAAAGTGAAGGGAAGTAAAAGGTTTACAATTAATCTATATACAGATGATGTACCTGTGTGGAACTTGTCAGACTAACATAATTTATAATGGAAACAACTCATGGCAACAAGAGCATAAATACAAACATCATCCATCATTCCTTTTTGTCTACTTCCGACACATTAACTATTTATCATCTTTAAGATGACTGATCTTGTTTTAAAGAAAATATAAATGAAGCAAGTAAAAGGAACAACTGGAAAAGACATATTGCATATGTATATTCACTGAAAATCTATTATCTAATGTTGTCCTTATGTGTCCTCAAATCCCAGCCTTAATAGTAGATACGCCTTGCCATGATATAATGAGCTTGATTTGGCAATCCAGGAGAGCCCAAAATTGAGGATTTTTGAGATCTTTCATCCCAGCTCATATTTCATCTGATATGCTCGGATCACAGAATATGCCTCATAATATCAGAGCATGTTTCAGGGTGCTATGAGTATAAGAATGAGATTTCATGGTGAGTTTTATATACTTCTTGGTTTTTAATGTTAAGCCAATTAACAAATCTATATGGTTTTGTGGATTAATATTTCATGAGAAGTTAAGACTGTAGGAAGATGTTTACACTTAATCTGTTAATGGACATTTCATTAGACAATAGACCTTTTCCAATACATGTACATCCTAAAGGTTTTTCGTGAACAAAGTAAATCATGGTAGTATATTGGAAATATCTAGGAGCCCATACTTTGCAGGTTTGCAGGTAGCACTGTTTGTTGACAAATTGGTGATCATGGAAAATTAGACACATGATATGATATTATGTCGTTAATTGGATTACAAAGTTTAATGAGCAGACTTTCTCTCAGCTCCGAAATTAAAATGAGGTTTTAGGTTTCAAGGTTTGTTATTACCTTTATGATCAATAATAGTACAGTTATTAGGGCTGACACAATGCGTCATTGACTCTGAAGTGAAATGAAGATATGGACATACAAATAAGACCTCAGACATTCAATGGATATACTATGAAATACAAAATAAAGCTATTTGGAAAACAAAACAATCAACTACATTTATAAACAGTTTGGAGTACTTTACATGTATTGCATTTTTATCGAATTGAATAGAGAAGAGGTGTCATGGCTATTCATACTTACCGGGATTGCCACAGTGAGTGAAAAAATGGTTCATTAAAGGTGGATCTAACCCATGGGATTTTCGAATGACACCAGAATAAAACAGTTTAACTACCACAAATCGTCAAATAAATGACAATGTGTGACCTTCTCAACAACACCAGTTGCTATGACAATTTCACAACATTTGAGATCAGTCCATCTGCAACAAACATATCTAAAAACGATGACTGGTTGCTAGTAAGAATATTTAGAATTTCAGCTGCAACTGCACTCATTCTGATACTGGTCACAAATGCACTTATGATTTCTGTCATTTTGCGGCACAAGGAATTTCACACACCGACAAACTACTGCCTTCTTTCCTTATGTGTTGGGAACATATTTGGTCTTTTTACAATCATAATGCTGACAATCAGCCTATTTATAATACACTCGCAACATTTTCTAGAATGTGTGGCATCATTTTCACTTGCATTTTCACAGTTGCTAATTGTAGTATTGATGTTGTTACTTGTAGGAATAGAGAAATATATAATGATAATGTACCCATTACGGTTTAATACAATCGTAACAACAAGACGCATGCTAGGAGTGATTGTTACATGCTGGGTGTACAGTAGCATTATAGCACTGGTACCCATATTTGGTCTAAACACCTATGACATTTACATATTTCCTAATCTCAATGAGACTCAGATTGAAGCTGCAACATGGGCAACACAACAATGTAATCCTGACTATGCACTTCCATCGAGTTATATGGGAATATATTTCCTGGGTAACTTTTATCCAATTATAATATGTCTAATTTGTCTATACATTCATATCATTATAAAAGCACATAAACAAGCACAGAAAATAAATTCATTTGAACAGGCAAGTCAAGGAAACAAAGGAATTTCCTTAAGAAAATATTTCAAAAGTTTACGAACAGTAATTGCTATATTAGGATATCTAATGATAACATGGGTACCATTGGGCTTTTTTCAACTTAATGAGTATGATTGGCTGCAGATTGAGTATATTCCATTTGGAAGGAGTGCAAGGGGTTCTCTAGTACTGAGGGCTCTCCTTACTGGAATGGGAAATCTAAACTGTGTTTACAATCCCATTGTATGTATACTTCTCAACAGAGACATGCGCCACATGGCAAGAAAAATGCTTTGCCCTAAATGCTTCAGACAACAAGTTGATTGAGGTACTTTACATAGATTCCAGGCATATTTTTACTTCTTGATGTGCCAAAAAGATTTATTAGATTGGTTTATTGCAGCATATTATACATTTATGGTATTTAATTTTTGTATTTGGTGCAATCTTTGTAAAAATATATTCTCTTATTGTGATTGTGACTCATCTTCTGGTTTATCATAATTTTACCGACTTGTATCCCAATAAAACAATGTATACCACCTGGCAAGTTACTGCAAATGGTTACAAATGTGTAACAATTTGTTACAGAGACAAACCACTGATTGTAAAAATGATGAATATAACAATATGCCGCCACTTCCCATTGGTGACATAGAAGAAATGTAAGAAACAAACTGTTAGAAACACACTTTTAAGATAAATACCTTCACATCGATTGGAAATTGTATTAAATGCATAGCCAGAGTTGCATTGTGGGGTAAGAGGACTTCCACTGTCTGTGCCGTCTCCCTGCTCACCAGTTGAAGGTTCACAGACATAACCACCTGGGTTGTTGACACAGGTCTCTCCTGGGCGACAATCGTTCTGTCCCGTCAGACATTCATCAATATCTTGAAGTATATAAATTAAATGAATTACATAAAACTGCAATGACCATAAACAAATATGCAGGCATCACCCAGGTGACAGTATAGTTGCAGCCTCTCAATACCAAACATAAACATATACAGTAAAAACTGTCAAGTGGAAAACCTCTGTATGTGGAGCAGTCCGAACAAGTGGAATAAAAGGCTTATACTTATACAGGTTGTACAGATTGTCCTTTTAATATGTTTATAGAGAATTCATTGGAAGTACAATCTATGACATCAAAATCTCACTTATGCGCTGAAGAAGTATATCGTCTACTTCGTAAAAGTAATTTTTACTTAATTTGTTCATATTCTATTGATGAACAAAACAAACCATCACTAAAAGGATTTATATTGATCATCAAATTTTATGTATCATCTCTATGGAGGTCCATAAACATTGGATGATATCTACTCTCCCCATAAAATGTATGGCAACTGGAAGTTCCCTTTCGGACCATGTATTACAGCCTGTTGATGTTTATTTCAACAAATTCATATTTTTTACCAAATTCGCTGTTGTCATAAAATTCAAACATAACAAGATTTTTAACACTATAGGGGTACTTCCATTTGCCAAACTTATGAAGGGGAGTGTAGATTAACCCACATTGTAATATTACATACCTTCGCATCCCTTTTCGTCCATTTTCATGAGATATCCCTCAAAGCACTTACAGGCAATAGCTAGGCCTGTGTCTATACACTCATGTTCACAGGGGTTATTTGTATTGCATCTGCTTCCTTCGTTGACTACAAGAAACAATCAAATGTATCCCAAGACGAAGAAGATGGTATACTGAATAGGGTTGGAGTTAACAAGACAATTTCAAGACAACTTGTTCACTTTTAATATTTTACATTTTTCAACACTGATTAAGTCATAGATTTGCTCATCTTTGAAGTAAACTTTTTTCATATTGGATAAACAAGGTCTCAAAACTACAATAAAAGGGCCCATATGATCATACAGGGTTAAAAGGGTTGTAAAGTGACTTGGCTTCATTCAACCTGTAACTTTTGAGCTTCACCCAAGCTCATATGGAATACAATATAATCTGCCTGTGTACAATGTAAACATTGTTTTCTCAAAATATTTTCTATTTACTTATGTTCCACCTCCTGATTCAAGATTGACTTATATACTAGCTGGGACCATTGACTTGATTATGTTGAGACTGACACCAAGAACCATAATTTAATAATTGTAACACCAAGAACCATCATTTAATAATTGTGAACCAATCCAAACTCACTTGCTTGTTTACACGTGCGTCCATCAACCTGTAGCTGGAAGCCAGGATGACAACGACACTTGTAGCTGCTTGCTCCCTCTGCCCCAGGGCTGCTCTCACAGATGTGATCACACAACTGTCCAGGGAACCTTGAGCATATAGAGCCTGGCTCTAAAACAGAATAAAGTAGTTTAAATAAACAACATGTGGACAACATAATATAATACAAGGCATCAACACACAAACAAAAAATTAACCACATGCTATTTGTTACAGACACCAACCACCGAACACAAAACATCGAACATCATGCTGAAACCACTTGTTGTGGTGACATGATTAGTAGGATTTTTAATATGATATTTATCATTGGCACAAGTTATGATAACTAACTTCTTTATATCATTTTATATTTACAACAATTTAATAATAAATTGAAAATGTAATCAATACCCCTATGTCTGAGATAGTTAGTGTATTACAGCTTAATCAACAGGGCTAGTTATTTGGTAACTGTTTCCTGTTTTGTAATAATAAAGTCTAATATACTAATCAAAATTGTTTGTTGATTCCAATTAATTCGAGATGAAGCATTCTTACCAGATAAAATAAGGGTAATAATTAGTGCAAGTTTCCACAAAAGCAAGGGTTTACACAAAAAGCAATTTAGTACAAAAAGAGTAAATTAGAGTTGCAGAGGCACTGCATGACTAACTCCAAGCACAAGCAAAGCCAAATAATAAATGAAATATGACACATATGACAACAAAGCACACATTAACCAAGCATGTAACATACTAAATCATGTTTATTTACAAAGCAGTATTTCTATTTAAAAAATAGGACCCACGGTCCTGTGCTCACACAGTTTGGAACCTTCAGAGGAATGTATATCCTGACTTTCAAACAAAAATATCGATTTGGATTTGTAGTCTCGAACTTTGAGAAACTTAGACAGGACAGCACAGTTGTGTGACCTAGTTTGATGACCTTGACCTTGAAAATTTTACTTATTTAGAGCTCAGTAAGGTCTTTTGTGATTAAGCTGAACAAAATTTACATCCAAAAATCAATTTGAAATATCAACCTTTTTGACCTTTCAAAGGTCACTGAAGGTCAAGTAAAGGTCAAATGCTAAAACTAATGTCAGATTTGAACTCCTGGTAACTTGTAGATGATTTTCAAAAAAAGATTTGGTCAAATTGAAGCAAGTTAAAAAATAACTTATTTTTACTGTTTTTTTACGTCAAATATCTCAAAAAACGGTAAAATTTGATGCTGACATATATTGAGCAATATGTAGGGAATGCTAAGATCTAGTTATGATGTAATTCATTGCAAGAAATGATCAAGTATAAGGCAAACTTTGAGAAACTTGTCAATCACAAAACCTGCCATTGACTTTATACATAAGAAAGTTTCCTGAAAATGACCAAGTCCTACTTTTTGTCAAATTTTATAGAGTAAGGACCAAAAACTAATTCCAAGAGCTTTGAAATCTTCAGAGGACATAAGTTGCATATACAGCAACTACTAGAAGTTATTTGAAAGTTCTACTTCAACAAAGTGTCTAGAATTTACAGAAAATTGGACTTTTTGACGTCAAAATCAGCAATTTCTCGGAAACCGGGCGAACTTGGGAAATGGCGATGATAGGTCAAATAGGCATTATGGATATGCATAAAATGACTGTGGATATGACTCAATCCGAATAGCAGTTTTAATTTGTGCGGCCAATGTTGACGGACGGACGGATGGACGGACGGACCAACGGAAGGACGGCCCAACGGACGGACGGACCAACGGACGGACGGACGCCTGGTTGATCCCATAGGCTCACTGTTTGAGCCAAAAAGCACAGCATATTAACTCTAAAAGTACAGTGAGCTAAAAACAAAGCACGATATATTAAACTCTAAAGTACAGTATGCTAAAAACAAAGCACGGCATATTGAAATCTAAAGTACTGTGTGCTAAAACCGAAAGAATAACATATTATTAACTCTTAGGTACAGGGTGCTAAAATCCAAAGAGTATCATATTAAACTCTAATGTGTTGCATGCTAGAATTCCAAGCAAAGCATATTAAATGCCAAAGAACAGCATGCTAAAATCACAAGCGCATCATATGAAACTCTAAAGTACAGCGTGCTAAAATCCCAAAGCACAGCATATTAAAATCTAAAGTACAGGGTACTAAAATCCAAAGTATAGTGTATTAACTCTAATGCACAACATGCTAAAAACCAAAGCACAGCATATTAAACTCTAAAGAACAGCATTCTAAAATTCCAAGCACAGCATATTAAACTCTAAAGTGCAGCCTGCTAAAATCCCAAGCACAGCATAATTAATTCCAAGCATGGCATGCTAACATCCATACACCAAACATACCATTGGGAGTTGGTTCAGTGGATGGGTCAATCAGAATAGGCTGCCTTAACCCACCCCCTCCCCACACATCCCCGACTCCACGTCCTATAGCATCTGGTTCCTCTCTCCCAGGGGCTATACCTGTACAGCACTCTTGGTAAACCTTCACAAGTAAAATACAAAAAGGCATACATCAATATTTTGTAACATTCATATGTAAAACAAGGGACTCTAATCCTCCTATTGCAACTGGCTAAGTGTAATCATAGTCATAATGAGAAAGGGGAAAATCAACTCTTACAGTAATCTTATGTGATGACATTTTGGGGATGGGAATTTTCAAGGCCTCTCATGTTGATTGCGGTATGGTGGGGGATGATTGCTCAGTAGTATGAATAATGAGGTAATTACTTGGATTTTTGTAATATTAAGGTTTGCACATTTATCCGATGTAAAAATATTTTATTCCTTTATATTATGTGAGAATTGCAAGAAGAAAATGTAATATTTCAAATGTATCCAATTCCAAAACAATGACCAGGATGACATCTTTTGAACAGTAGAGAGTTCATTTTCAACAATCACCAATAGGAGGTTTAGATCCCTACATTTGTTCCCACAATACATACCAGTTGCATTAACTACAGGTTTTGTAGTCGTCTCATTAGAATCAACTGGTATCTCTTTTTCTTGTCTCAACCCCCCTCCTCCAAAGATATCCCTGAGGCTCCTCAATTCACCTATCCCAGTAGAATCCTCTCCAATGGTGCCATTGTCACCAGAAGGTAAGGTCTCATCACCACGTTCGAGAAGGGTAGGGTCACAGCATTCAAGATAAGCCTTTTTTGGCAGATGCATGCATTATTAATTAATTATCATTTAACTATTGAACAGACAAGCAATGTATAACATTCTGGTAATAAATAACTATTTTACAAAAAAAATTTCAAAAAATTTCAAAAAAGATTTAATCTGCATATAATATATATGATTATTCCATACTAAGTAGTGTTATAGGTAAATTTTTGATTTTTGATACAGGGTATTCCCTCTATAAATACAACATATCAATATTATATTGATATATTACATTTCCCTCTGATATACCCTTTATCAAAAACCTCCCATTAAATAACCTCTATGAATCAAAATAAGAATACATTTGATAAAAAAGTAAATGTACTTACATAATTGCAGCGGTTTCCCCAGTAAACACCAAAAACACGAGGATCACAGGATATCCCAGCATCCCTTGCTTGACTTCCCAGTTTGCAACAGTTACAGCATTCCTGTAACAACAAACAGAGGAGGATCATTTAATATCCCAACATCCCTTGCCTGGGGAATCATATAATATTCCAGTGTGCTTTGTCTGTCACTTCCCAGTTTGCAACAGTTAAAACATTCCTGCAATGACAAACAGAGGAGGATCATTTAATATCCCAGCATCCCTTGCCTAACTTCCCAGTTTGCAACTCTAATTACAAATAATTACGTAATGTTCCAGTTTTATTAAAAGACAAGTTCCATGTACAAAGAAAAATCTAAGTTAAATTAAAAAATAGTTTATAATAACCAGAACAACGGCAACGCCAAAGCGTAGCGAATCCCATCGAACAGAAATGGCTGGCATTTTTACAAACGCATAGCAAATATCATAAAACAACACACCAGAAAGGCCACCATTTTCAAAATGGTTGCTCTCTAGCCAAGTTGTCATCAGAAGAAATAATATGCTTTTAAGAAGCCACCTCTAAAATATTTGAAAAATTGCACACGTACTTGTAAAATAACACACATAAAAATGGTGGCCATTTTTCAAAATGGCCGACTACTCCCCAAAGTTTTATTAGACAATGTGCCATGCTTAAAGTATTCACATATCAAATATGAACAAAATCGCTCCACTACTTTTCGAGTTATAGTAAAATCGTTAAAATGGTGGCCATTTTTCAAAATGGCCACCTTCTACCAAAAGTGTCATTAGAAATAGACAATTTTCAAAATGGTCGTCTTGTACCAAAAGTGTCATAGGACAGTGTGCCATGCTTATAGTATTCACATACCAAATATGAACAAAATCGCTCCACTACTTTTCGAGTTATAGTAAAATAAGTTAAAATGGCGGTCATTTTTCAAAATGTTTTTCAAAATGGCCGCCTTCTACCAAAAGTGTCATAGGACAGAGTGCCATGCTTATAGTATTCACATACCAAATATGAACAAAATCGCTCCACTACTTTTCGAGTTATAGTAAAATACATTAAAATGGCGGCCATTTTGAAAAATGGCCGCCTTCTACCAAAAGTGTCTTTAGACAGTGTGCAATGCTTATAGTATTGACATACCAAATATGAACAAAATCGCTCCACTATTTTTTGAGTTACAGCAAAAATCGTAAAATGACAAGTAAAGGCCGCCATTTTTCAAGATGGCTGCCATGTGCTTCTTAAATATCTACATTTGTAGCATTATTATTGTCCTTTATAATTTTTTTACATTTAAAACATATTGCTATTACAGTTTTACATATTGCACCTAAATTACTGTAAAATCGTCACTAAAATGGCCGTCATTTTGAAATGAGCGGCCATTTTGAAAATCGGCTTTCGAGCAGAACTTCTACCTCCATAGGCTATATTTGTACAAAATATGAACAAAATCGGGCCAACGGTATTTGAGTTATTGCCCGGACGGACAGACGGACGGACGGACGTACGGACGTACGTACGGACGGACGGACGGAGGCGTTCCCTATATCCCTTCGTTCGATGGGATAATTAAATAATTCATTTTATATTCTAAAGGAATGATACATTTTATTTTAAAATTCTAGAGCAATGGTACTATAATGTATTTATTTTTTTTATATTCTAGAGAATGGTACTTTTTATTCTGTATTCTAAAGGAATAGTACTTTCTATTTTATATTTTAAAGGAATGGTACTACAGTATTTACAGACGCTATATGTTGTAGAGCAGAGGAGCATAAATCAGACAGGAAAACAGAATATGGACATGTATAACATATTTTGTCTGCCCTTTACACCACAACATACTTTGGAGATCATGATCTCCCTGTTAAACCATTTGTAACATTATGATACTCTTCCATGTCAGAAACAATACAAGTGCAGTTAAGTTATTTATACAATCAAACAGCACTTTAAAGCTCTCAATTGTACTAAACAGTACTGTTATTTATACACTCAAATAGCACTTTAAAGCACTTAATTGCACTAACAGTACTGTTATTTATACACTCAAACAGCACTTTAAAGCACTTAATTGTACTAAACAGTACTGTTATTTATACACTCAAACAGCACTTTAAAGCACTTAATTGTACTAAACAGTACTGTTATTTATACACTCAAACAGCACTTTAAAGCACTTAATTGTACTAAACAGTACTGTTATTTATACACTCAAACAGCACTTTAAAGCACTTAATTGTACTAAACAGTACTGTTATTTATACACTCAAACAGCACTTTAAAGCACTTCATTGTACTAAACAGTACTGTTATTTATATACACTCAAATAGCACTTTAAAGCACTTAATTGCACTAAACAGTACTATTATTTATACACTCAAACAGCACTTAACAGCACTTAATTAACAGTACTGTTTGAGCACCATTACCAAACAGTGCTGCACCTTAAAGAACAGTGCTCAATATATACTCTACTGTTATTTGATGTCAAGATATTCAAACACCACTGAGGTGTCTCATAATGATACATGAATACAGCATACTTTTTAAAGGATCATGCAACTGCATCACACAGTTGTACATCAGTGTTGGTCTGAATAAGTTACAATAATGTGTTTTCAACACTATTGGAAACATGTCATGTCATACTGGAAGTTTACATGTAAGACAATAGGGTTGTGTTAGATTTCAACTAGAATGGTTTTCACAGCATTTTTACATATTTTACATATTATTACAAATTACTTGTATTTGTGTACATTGTCATTTGAACCTTGTTAGGGATTAAAGTATTTTCAAAACTGCTCCAGATAATCTTTGAACTTCCAAAAATTGTTTCAAATTAAGAATCTTTTTGCTATATCTACAATTATGCCTCTTAATATTTCAGCAGCCCCTCCCCCCAAAAAAGGTTGATTCATCAGCCAATCTGACTGGAGGGAACGGATGTTATTAGCCTCAACACACCAGAAGTAATAACATTTTTCTCCCATTTTTGCACTTTAAATCTTTAAAAAATTCGCCCAAATATAACATGTCACAGATCCTTTGAGATATATTGTATTTGCTGTTGTAAGGAATAGATTGGTAGGTCGACTGTACACTCTGCAATTTTACTGTTTCTTATTTATATGCAGTTTCTCGCACAACAATTTTACCGTTTTTGATTTATTATGCCTTAATATTATCTACTAGTTAGTCCTGAATGACTTGTACAGGATCATGATTTATTTTGACTGAATATTCCAGACTCGCTTTTGATGGTTTAAAATAAGGCATTTAGAGATGTTTTATTGTATTTTAGTACATGCCATACTAGTCAACAATGGCCCCTTGCTATTGGTTTGGTTATCTTTTGATGAGATATAGCAATTAATTAATTAATTAATTAAATATGTAACAGCATGCATGTTGAATCAGAAGTCAAAAACTGGATGTCAAAAATCAGAAGTTAAATTTGGATGTCTTAACTTTTAATAAGAAAGAGATAAAACAAATTATTGAGGTATTCTTTAGCCAGGGTTAAATTCCAAATAATATGAACCATAAATTGACAGGTGGGGGTGCGTCAGCAGCTATAACACTGGAGAAAAAGGGTAAGAAAACAAATAAATCAAAATGTTATGATTTCGTGACATTTCTCAGGAAATTCTTAGGATAGGTCAAATAGATCATAAAATTCTGAAACATAAAAATAAAAAAATGAGAGGAATTTCCAAGGATAGTAGGGATAGTAAAGGATAGTACAAATTATTTTGCCTCATGGCAATTAAAAATTTGATCTGATGGATGTGCTACCATTCATAATCATTGGAACTAAAAAACTAAATATTTTATCTCAAAAAATTATTTAATTGAGGGGGTGTAAACCTTGAGAAAAATGTTTTTTGGTTATGTTTCATTTACTCCAGAGTATATTGTCTGAATTTTCTGATCACCTGGCTAAAGGCACAACATTTAAGAAATGAACATGGAACAGCGTTTTGCCTTATAAAAGGCCTAGATGGCTGGTCTAAAACTGAAACCAGGGACCTGAAACATTTTTGTTTCCTTGGCCTATGCTAAGCAAGATCTCCATTTATTAAATGAGATGTATAATATAGTGTTCTTGTCATTTCTACATTTGATTACAGTATGTTTGTATTCAAAAATGTATTCTACAACAGCATGTAAATATTCACAAAAAAAATATTTCATCAATTTTGATTATCAATGAAAATATCATATAAATACCAATCTTGTAAATCTATCTCCATACTAAAGTAATAACAATTGATAACTGGTAAGTGATGCAGTAGTTTGACAAGTTAGAAGTACAGAAATAAATCTGAACTTTGAGCCATATGTATGGATTTACACAACAAAGCTATCAAATATTATATGTTCCTAAGAGATATGACTGTGTATTGTCTGACAAGGAGTTGGTAAATAGATTATTTGTGAACAGATATAACAATCTCTCCGAGTCCAGGATCTTTTCCCAAAAGTTTTTATTTTCAGCCAAAATTGATCCAAAATATGCATTTTTTAATCATTTTCAAGTGGGTGAAAATGGTATTTCAATCGGGTACAAACTAAATTTCACATAACGCCTACCTACTTCCATGGTGGTTAGATCACCGGGACATATGTTATCTCATTCAGAGAATACTATCTCTCCTGAGTTTACTGAAATGCTACAGTGATCACCCGATTATCTTGAAACAATTCACTTTATATTGCACCTGTTGAGAATGTCACAACCATGCTACATTAACAAAGGTTCATAAAGATTCTTTCTCAATAAAGTAGGAAGTTTAGTGAAGTTTCATATTACATGTACTTTACTTCGGAGACCCCCCAACCCCCTTTAAACCTCAATGATGTTCTGGGTAGTTTGTCAGAAATTTAATAAATTGGTTACACAGTTTTTGTGAAACCTGCAAAGCGAAAAACTTCTGGAAGTGGAACACCTCCATAAGTGAAACACTTTTTTATGTCCAGCAGTCTCAGGGTTCTCACCAGGAAATTTTTAGACCCCTGATTTTTAGCGGTATTGTGACTACTTTTTTAAGGTTTCTGACCTCCTATTCCTTGTTTGTATCCAGTTAAATGTATTTTCTCAAGAGTTTTACCGCAAATAATGTGACAAAAATGTAAAATTAGACTCCAGAAAAAATACTCTAGACTCTGGAAAAGCTGTTAGACTTTGGAGCAAAAGGGTTTTAAGACATTAGACTCCGGAGAATCTCCTGAGTCTAAAAGCCTAGTGAGAACCCTGAGTCTCCTATTATCTAACCTAAAAACGAGGCTCTTCAAAATGGATCACTATTTTGAGGTAGCAAATGCAATCCACTTACCCAGGCTTTATGTTTATAGTTAGATTTGACACAGTGAGGGAGATACCATCTTGATTAATCAAGGTATTTCACATGACTGAAGGAATACACTGGTTTAACAGTATGGAGAGATACTAACCTGTTGATCATCGACATTTAACTGGTTTCTCAATGCCATACAATCACCAACCCTTTTGGCAAGTTTCTTTCCATTCTCACAGTCATTCTCTTGTTTCTTGTTCAGGCAGCACACCTAGAAAAACAGACAACCACTGATGCATTTCTTGAATTATGAATATCTAATGTTCTCCAAAGAATTTCATTTTCAAGTGGGTGTAAAGTTTACATTTTTACTTGTTCTGCTTGCAGCTTGTACAAACAGGTCAATTTTTCATTATTTTTCTCAAAGTATGTTCAGATGGGTTTTCAAGTACTTTAATGGTGGGGAGATCACTGATTTTATAGAGATATGTTTGGGAGAAATTCAATAAGAGCTTCACAAGAACATACAAGACATTATTGCCCACAATGTCACCACTTGCAATTTGTTACAAATGCCGAACGCTGACTCGATCACCAAATTCCATCCCACAAATGCCAAACTGGAAAAGCCGAAAACCATCCACAAAGAAAGCTGGAGACTATAACAATATGTCATTATATTATGATAAAAAGCTATACCTCTATGATAGCCCTACAGTTCATCTGATCTACTGCCTGTATGCCAGCAGGCATGGGTGAGTTCTTGCAGAGTCCCCGACTTGATTGATACCATTGTGTACCCTGTTGGCAGCATTTCTCTGCAACGCTCAGTAGGTCACCTGCAAAAATGCATGTACCCAGCAGTAAAGTATATGGAACATGGGTTATTGTATGAATTACAGTAAAATGTCTGTTTATTATTTATATGGACTACTCTCAGTACTTTCCAATATTGTTCCTTGTAAGACAGGTGATTTTCAAAGAGCAGGTTCTTTTTAGCATGTGAGTCAATTAGAATCTGTTTTTAGAACTATTTTACCAGATTCATTCATTCAAATATTTGGACATTACTGATTAATGTTGAGAGGCGTTCCTTCACACAGATTTCGCTGTATTGGATATATGATTTATCCCATGGTTGCAAGGATATATGATTTATCCCATGGTTGCAAGGATATAGATCGAATATCACATGGGTGTATAGGTCTGTTGACTGGCCAATATCAAATGAAATTTATTTGAGGAGTTAGACTGGCCTCACCTTCAACAAGTATAGTTTACATACATACAACACTTGTGTTGAAAACCTGGTATAGGAAACAAAGCCAGAAGGCTTCAAAGGGTTCTGTTGTATATCAACCATCTGGCATATGGCAGAATGTTGTCAAGTTAGCTCTAAAATATTACAGTGACTGAGCCATTAAGTAGAATTTGATAGTTTGTGTGACCTCAACTTCCCCCTGTTGAGGTGATGTTCCTATAAAATACTCATAAACACCAGTTGAATATTCTAGTTTATATTTTTATTTCATTTTTCTAAGAAATCCTAAGAAATGACCCCTGATAATATGGAGTTATCCTAAAAAATGACCCTTGATAATATGAAGTTATCTTAAGAAATGGAACTTGATAACATGATGTTATCCTTAGAAATGACCCTTGATAATATGAAGTTATCCTAAGAAATGACCCTTGATAATATGAAGTTATCCTAAGAAATGACCCTTGATATGAAGTTATCCTAAGAAATGACCCTTGATAATATGAAGTTATCCTAAAAATGACCCTTGATAATATGAAGTTACCTTAAGAAATGATCCTTGATAACATGAAGTTATCCTAAGAAATGACCCTTGATAATATGAGGTTATCCTAAGAAATAAACCTTGATATGAAGTTATCCTAATTAATGACCCTTGATAATATGAAGTTATCTTAAGAAATGATCCTTGATAACATGATGTTATCCTAAGAAATGATCCTTGATAACATGAAGTTATCCTAAGAAATGATCCTTGATAACATGAAGTTATCCTAAGAAATGACCCTTGATAATATGAGGTTATCCTAAGAAATGACCCTTTATATGAAGTTATCCTAAAAAATGACCCATGATAAAATGAAGTTATCCTAAGAAATGACCCTTGATAATTTGAGGTTATCCTAAGAAATGACCCTTTATATGAAGTTATCCTTAAAAATGACCCATGATAAAATGAAGTTATCCTAAGAAATGACCCTTGATAATATGATGTTACCACAGATGTAGCCTAGATCTGTGTCTCTACCTGCCCCTTTATCATTGCAATATGCATAACAAAGGAGTACATTACAAAGGAGGGCATCATCTAATAAATGTCCAAATATTTGAATCTGCTAAAAATATCAAAAGTAAAGTTGAAGCCAGTGCCAATCAAGACAAACAAAGAACAAATGAGATGATCGGCTGATTAAAAAATTAAAAGAATTTTAGCAATCCATGTCATAGAATATGATTTTTCTGTTTATAGTGGTTTTATATTCACACTCAAATATGTGGAAAATGGAACAACTCAGAGTAATGCATTAGGTTTTTTATTTGTTTATTTGTGTTTTACAAAATTGGCAAGGCTGCCAAAAGTAAGTGCAATATAATATTTCCAGAAACAGAAAATTTGAGAAGTAAATAAACAAAACCTGAGAAAATGTCGGTTGTATTTAGTAGATCCAGAGAAACAAGTCAACAATAGTACTTTGACAAAGTAACATAAAAAACAACACTTCAAGAAACATTAGATGATTAGATTTCAAGAAACATTAGCCGTGTTTGATTCAAGAACAAGAAATATTAGCTAATTACTCTTCAATCAAATACCAAATTCCAATGGAGCAAAAGCAATATGACCCATAAAGGGTGACATAAAAAATGGTAACTACAGAGTGGCAAATTCCACTGCAACCTGTTTTCTGAATTCTTTCTTTATTTGAACATCAACTCAATGCGCAATAACCAGAAAATGGAACCATATAAAATATGAATCTGATGCATCAAGCAGAAATCAAATTAGAGCCAAAATATGGGCAAAAATGGGTGTACCAGACATTTAATATTAAGTGAAACCTGTAAAGTGGAACACCTTTAAAGGTGGGACACCTCCCAAGATCAACTGACTTAATGATAAATGAGCCTCTAAAAGTAGAACACCTCCCCAGCGGAACACTTTTTAAAAGTACCAAATGTCTTCCAATTAGACAGGTTTTACTGTATATGGTTTCATCTTCATGGGCTGAGGAATGAGATCAGACAGATCCGAAATTGCACTTAGTTGCCTCCAGAAACTTGGACACGTATGAAAAATGGATAAGAGCAGCTTTCAATTTCAAGGTTCTGAAGACAAAATGAACCAGTAAAAACAATATTTCCTAAAACTATAAGAGAATGACAGAATAGATTTGTCTTCTAAACTCCAACCTCTATAATTGTTTAAAACACCAGCCACCATGATGGGTAACGTCTGAAACATACCACCTCATAGTAAAGGGACTAGAGAATTTAAAACTCTAATGAATTTGGACATTTCAGCATTCTATTATCTCAATTCTCTTTTTAGAAATAAAGTAAGAACTGGAAACATTGAGATGATTTTCATTTACCCCTAACTCCCTAAAGTTGCAATAGTCAGAAACATATGGTATTAAAGTATAAGAGATTTGTTCAAACAATAATTTGGTTGAAATGCATACTGTTTTTGGGTGGACCCCACCTCCTTTTTGACTCCTACATGCAATTGACAATGCATCCCTTTCATATTAAAGCAACGTGGCACCACAGATACTATACGAGCATTGCATTTTTGTAACTACACCCCTTTAAATTGCCAATTTTTCCATTTGTAAGGGACACATGGCCTCAAAACTTCCAAAAAAACAAATAAGGAACAAAATCCACCAGACAGCAAGCAAGATGGAAACAATAAAAATTCCAACTGAGGTCATAACCTTAAAAATACATTGAACATTTCCTGAAAGATGCTTCAAATAAAATGTTAGTTAGGTCACGATGGCAACTGCAAATAAGCAAAAATATATCATCTCCAAATGAGGGACATAACAATGGGTGCCAATAGGTGATTGTCACAGGCCACTGGCAAATCTGGGGGGGGCCAAAAAAGGCCTTACAGCCCCAAAAGTGGGCCTTTTTGGTCATAAATGGGCCTTCTAAGGCCTTATTTTTTAATTTTAGGCCAAATTTTGAAGAAAATGGGCCTCAAAATTTGGGCCCACTTTTTGGTTTTAGGGGCCCAAAATTTTTTTCCCCGCAAGCGCAGAATTTTTTTTCTCAGATCAGAACTTTGAGCCCCCCCCTTGTTGGTTCCCAGATCCGCCCCTGCAGGCTCTGGTTGGTACTTTATAACTACACTCTGCGCGCAGGGTACCCAATCCATGAGAGTGTATGAAATCAAAATAAATAAAAAAACTCCAATATTCCAAAACTAACACTTAACCCCTTCACAATTAGCCTCATAATAAACATGTGATGGAAGGAATGATGATGGAAATATTTGTTCAAACAACAGTTCTAAATCTAATATTAGACATAGTTTAGGATGAAGATGCTTCCTTTGGAAACCACTTCCTGATCAAGAATGGTCCAGAACCTAATTGGAGCTATTGCCCTTCTAGATGAATTCCACTTGCCACTTGTATGGCCTCTTAGACTCCCTCATCAACAATTTTCATACTCTTTGACAATATACCTCCCTCACCTAGCTTCCTTTTGACAGAGTGTTTAAATGTTTAATTTGTGTAAATGAAATGTTTCATTGTATATTTTTCACAATATCTATGTTAAACGTGTCAGTGAAAATTGCTTATTTATCTTTGATATAATTTTCCTTCTTATCTTGATTATCGATTTAAAAAAGACTGAAATGATAATAAAAAGAATCAATTCATCCTTTTGGAAAAAACACTTGATCTGAATTAGAGATTTTCCCACTATCTAACATTGTAGGATGCACTTTAGTTGAGTTGATATTGCAAGTGTTTATAAGTTGCTTAATCTTCATTTCGCAGGACATACGTTTCCTCTCTAAGTCCCTGAATCTCAAGAACTTTACTATTTACTACAACTGTGATGTTTTCTTACTAATTAGGCCTGTTTATTTTGATATTCTATCTACATTATCTCTAATTCACAAGGTTAAGGCCAGAGTAGTTTAATTCTCATCTTAGCATCATGATTTTGCTTGGAATGGACTTTTTCTTGAACCCTCATTTTGACTTGTTTTTTGTCAAAATAAATGAAATGCACTTTAATGATGCTTATGTTCCATTTTAATTAAGTACGGGGAATAATAGTTAGGCCATTTGAAATACGATTCAAAATTCTCATTCTCATAATGGTGTCAAAAATTGGTCAAAATATTTATTGTCATGTCTTTCTAAATTTTAGGGGGTACAAGTGACTTTTCATGTAAATGCAAGCCTATTTTCTTGGAGATCACTGATATTAAGCATTTATTCATCTTCGATCCCTTTTCTCAAGTGTTTCACTTGAATCTCAGCCACTTTCACAAGGTGAGCTTAGAATCATCACTGGAATTCAATTTTATTTCATACACTGATTTTAAGAAATTCCAAAATTAAGTTAAGACTCTTAGTCTCTTATTTTGTTCAAACATTTTTTGAAGGACAATATGTTTATGATCAATTAATTGACTTGCAAAATATGTACACTGGTTCAATATAGTTTACATGTATATGAATTAATAAGGAATTCATAAATTGCGCTTTGTAATTCTCATTTGTTGAAACCCATGTTTTGAAATAAGCTAAATATCATTGATTTCCATTATACCAAAACAAGAAGTTTTGAAAATAGGGTAACTAAATGTTTACCCTCTTCAAATTTAGGAAAACATTGAAAATATGTATATTTTGATTTTATTTCAAAATTGAAATAACATTACATATTAACCTAATAATAGCTCAAGCCATATTAGTTTAAAGTACAGTTGAATTGACACCTAGTTGACCAGAATGGATGACGTTTATCTTTTTTTCAACACACCAAATGTGTTTTTAATTAAAGTTTCAAGATAGTGGTTATTTAGATCAATTAGACTATTATAAATAAACAGAAAATGTTCTAGAAATAAAAAAGAAAACACATACGACTGAAGTCCAAATTGAAATATATTCAATGTTAATAAAAGGAAGCCAAAAATGAGTCATGATGTCTTGAAATTTGAAAATGACACCAGAAATAACACCTGTAGAACCACAAATAAGAAGCCATCTTTTTAAATTAAACCCAACAATTTTCTATTTCTATTAATTTAGATACACCAATGCTGATAATTCATTGTTTGTTATATTATATATATATATTGCAACAAAATTTTTGATCACTTTGGCTTGATTAACAAAAAGTTAACCATTATTTTTACATAAATTCCCTCAAAAGTGCTCTTTCAAAAGTCTGTGTCCTTATCATGAGTGGATGGGTGGTAACCATGTAGGTCCTCTGTCTCCAATGTTGCATTACAGCATGTGGATTCTAGCTGAGCCTAGCTTTAAAAATTTGACATGCAATTTGATCTTGATAGATTTCATAGTTTTGACACGTTTCAAATACAGAACGTTAAAGAATGAAACTCACTGTCACCCATGAGATCACTTACCTATAGACTTTGCAAACAATAGTCCAACAAAAACTAATGATAAAAGATTTCTTTGTATCCTAGCCATGATGTTGTATCAAATAACAAGTTGCAATTATCGCCAATCGAAATCCTTAAATTAATCCTTTAATGCGATTTCACGTATTCCAATCGCATTTGTTTTAATGTTTACGTTGAAATAAAATGTGCTGCTTGATACTCCCAGTTGTGTTCTTGGAGTAAGGATTATCCCTAGATTATCCTTGTAGAGATTATCTAGATCTCGTTATCTTGCTAAAACACTTCAAACTTCAGCACTAACTAATCCTTCAATGTTCCTCACTCTAGCAAGATCTCTCAGTAAAAAATCATTCGAGGTTCTAAAGTGTGGTTGAAAAATGATACCAGCTGGCTTTACTATGCTATAACTCCGCCTTGTATTTTTTTAAATCCTCAAAGTGCAGTTTCTGGTAAGAATAACCCACGCTTCATTTCAACTTCAGACACTCTGATTTGGTGATAGTAACCGATTGTAAATCTCATGAGCTTTTACAACTTCAGAATTGACCTGTTAATCTTCAGATAGAAAAATGACACCAACATCTCACACTAACCTTAAATAAGGGCAAGATTCTGGAAAGTAAGCGTGATTTTGGTGAGGTACTTCTAAAATGTTGCCTTCCATAAGGTGAAATTTGATTGGATAGAAATAGTTAGGGTAATAATAGGAGGGAGTTCATGGTAAATAATTAGTATGATTAATAAAATAACAGAAACCATTAATTAAATAGGGTTCACTTTTTGAAAGTTTTTTTTGGCTTCATGACTTTAAGGGTACACATACCTTGAAGCTTTGCACAATTTGAGCAAATCCCAAATTGTAAAGAATTTTTGATTCATCAATGGTCATTGGTTGTATGATTGATTAAAAGTTTCACTCTAGTAGATACATCTATATATATTCTTAAATTCTAAAGTATTAAATAATGTAAACTGACTATAAAAGTCATTGTGTCAGCAGAGAGTTACTCATATATTGTCTGACTTTAGATTTATGTTATCTGGCAGGGTTTATCAGAGTTATTTTTATTACAACTTAACACAGAAAATGTCACCACATGCCATTTGTTACAGATGCCGAACTCCAACCACCAACCACAGACTTCCACAACAAAAAAGTTGGAAACTGTTACTGTAACAATATGCATAACAAAGCATTGACATGCAAAAAGTCACTACTTGCCATTTGTTACAGATACCAAACACCAACCACAAAACACTGACCACCAAAGGCCAAATACAAAAAAGTTGGAGACAATAACATTACCACTTGCAGTGGTGACATAAACACAAAGATGCATTAGGCCACAAAAAATAGTCTCGTGTCTGGTTGGGAAAAATTAGTAATGCCTCTGAATGATTAATCGATCAATCATATGGTATTAAAATTAAAAAGGTACCACACATTAATGCTTTATAACTTTAGTGGAAGTTTAACATAACAACAAATTTAACAATTCCAAATAGAGGAGGCGTGACTTTCTGAGAATGGTGCAGGAATGGCTATATCGTTGTATAGCGATATATATCGCTATACTGCCTCTCATTGACTTACATGTGATATATTCGATATATATCGTCGATATATAAGGCTATATAAAATCTGGCCAGATATACTTCTCCAAATTTTATCATGTTCCTAGCATTTACCCATGACGATATACACGCTATATTCGATATGTATCCTCTTGCCAAGATATAGAGCGATATACACACGATGTATACGCTATATTTGCTACATATATCCTGTCTTTAAGATAAATATCGGATATATATCCCCAATACAGGGGTTTGTTGAATCAGTTCTTACAATTATCCATGATGATATAGACGATATAGACGATATATTCGATATATATCCTCTTTTCAAGATTTAGAGCGATATACACACGATATATACGCTATATTCGATATATATATCCTGTGTTTAAGATACATATCGGATATATATCCCCAATACAGAGATTGTTGAGTCGGTTCTTACAATTGTCCATGACGATATACACGATATACACGATATATTGGATATATCCTCTTTTCAAGATATAGAGTGATACACACACGATATATACGCTATATGCTATATATATCATGTGCTCGAGATATATATCGGATATATATCCTCAATATAGAGTTTGTTGAATCAGTTCTTACAATTATCCATGTCGATATACACGATATACACGATATATTCGATATACATCCCCTTTCCAAGATAGAGAGCGATATACACACGATATGTTCGCTATATTCGATATATATATCCTGTCTTCAAGATATATATCTGACATATATCCCCAATACAGGGTTTCTTGAATCAGTTCTTAAAATTATCCATGACGATATACACGATATATTCGGTATATATCCTATTTTCAATATATAGAACGATATACACACGATATATACGCTATATTCGATATATATATATATCCTGTCTTCAAGATATATATCGGATATATATCCCCAATACAGGGTTTTTTGAATCAGTTCTTAAAATTATACACAACGATATACACGATATATTCGATATATATCCTCTTTTCAAGATATAGAGCGATATACACACGATATATACACTATATTCGATATATATATCCTGTCTTCAAGATATATATCGGATATATATCCCCAATACAGGGTTTGTTGAATCAATTCTTAAAATTATACACGACGATATACACGATACATTCGATATACGAGCCTGTAACTAGGTGCACTGATGCTTTCTTCGCAAATTACATCGCCATTGCTCGTCATCGAAATTCTGATCGCCGAATAGTAAACATTCATTTTGTATTGGATGTACATAACTAGAGACCGCCTTATTTCGCATATATGAAAAAATAAAACATATCTAGGTACATATATCTTTATATGTGACATCGATCAGGAATTATTGACAATATTAGGTTGTAATTTCTTGCGGTAAATTCAAATTGTATCTTTAAACGACTGTTTCATCTTAACTATTCGTTTTATTGGATGTAAAACAAATGGTATGCATAGTTTAACATCTTTCACTTCTAAAACAGCATAAAATATAATATCATCACCTAATGCTGCAATAATACGACTTAAAAGATTATGGTACTAATATTCTTTGGTTTTTGGGCGCCATGCCTCGTCTTTACCATCACCCTTGAAATTAGGTCCGCTCACTAAGCATAGGGTGAGAGTGTATATCCTACTCCCAAGTACATTGAGAAATTAAGTATTAGGGCAAGAAAAACATAATACTTAAAGAAATTAAAATGTGAAGATAATTTTTATCAAAAAAATGAAATTTTTTGTTGAAAATGAATTTTTGGGAAACATGTAAATTTTTTTAATATACCCGGGATGGTGTCAATATCATCCCTGATATCATCCCTCTAATCCTGAATATCTTGAAAAGAGGATATATATCGAATATATCGTATATATCGTGTGTATATCGCATCTTGGAAAGAGGATATATATCGAATATATCATGTATATCATGTTTGAAAAATATAAGAACTGATTTAACAAAATTGTAAACTGGGAATATATATCCGATATATATCTTGAAGACAGGATATATATCGAATACCCTATTTTTCAAGCACGATATACACGATATATTCGATATATATCCTCTTTCCAAGATATAGAGCGATACACACACGATATATACGCTATAATCGATATATATCCTGTCTTCAAGATATATATCGGATATATATCCCCAATATTTTTTTTTGAATCAGTTCTTAAAATTATACACGACGATATACACGATATATTCGATATATATCCTACCCCAGAGATATATATCGGATATATTTCGATTTGAGGATGGGAAGAGATAGTTTCACGAATATATCGTCCGAGAGACGATATATATCGCTATACAACGATATAGCCATTCCTGCACCTTTATGGACTTTCTGGTGCCTGTTCACAAGAAACAAGAATATTCCCTGGCCTTAATAGTCTTGAAAGTGCAAAAGTCAAAAGAGAGTACTTATAGTTTATCACCCACTTTGTGCAATATTGTAACTTGAAATCTACCACATTATTGACTTTGACAATGAATAAAGATACCAGATTTGCTCTAATCTTTATATGCTTGATATTTTGACCCTTTATCTTTCAATTCTTACAAATGAATGTTTCTATTAATGTAATAATCTTACATTCAGGTACATTTATATTTAACAGACGTTTTTAATCAGCTCAATGGTATTTTATCATTTCCATAGGCCCCTTGGCATTCTTGAATCCAAAGCCAACATTGGCTTTAGGAATGCGAGGGCATTGAAAGAAAGAATGGCTGACTATTGTTGTAAATACAGTAAAACCTGTCTAATCCAAACACCATTGGGACCAATTTAAAGCGGGTTTGGAGGTTCACTACAATGATTGTGACCCTTCAATGTTTATTTTTCAAAAGTAACAATTGAGTGTTAAATTGAAAATATTTTAGCAATTTTGAAAGAAACATGCAATATTTTGTGGAATGTGTTCAGATTAGACAGGTTAACTTTACAATTTGACTGTTCACTGTTCAGACTGGGAGGTATTCACATTTCAAGTGTTTTTAACATAGGAATCAATGGAAGGAAAAAATAGAACCGAAAAAGTGTTCAGATTGGGAGGTATTTGGATATACAGGTTTTACTGGCATGGCCCATCAACATAAAGCCTGACATCCAAGAAAGATTGAAGTGTGTCAAAGAAAATATAGTAATTGAACACATCTCCAAATCCAAACAAGGAAATCAAATATGTTGTGCCTAAAAAGCATGTAATGACATGGGGCATTGTAACAATGCAGAAGTTTTTTTTAATTTTGACATTTTTTCAACTGAAACTTTGAAAAAGAATTTAGTGCTATTATTACATTACCTTTAACCCAGTTTTTGCCTCGCCTATTTTAACTCATTTAAATTTGCCTCACCTGTAGTTGGATCCTGGCTATTCCCCCCACCTCAACAAAGCAACTTAAATGTTGTACCGATATAATCAGAATAATAATTTCATAATTTACTGCCGCATATGTTGAATATGTTGACAGTTACACATATTGACAAAAAGAAGTATTGAATTTTTAGACAACTGGTTTTATGTGTTTTCTTTTAAGAAAAAAGCAACTTTACAATCATGTATGGAGATGTTGTCATAGCAACAATGAAACCACTCCCATCTCCTGCCACTTCAAAGGGAAATTAAGAGGGAATGTGTCAAAGTTACTTGAGAAACTTTGAGAGAGAATGTGTCAAATGTGTCTAGCTATAAGCCCCTGTGACCCCCCCCCCCCCTCCCACTACTTGACTACAAAACCTCTCACACAGGACTCACATGGACGTGTAGCGAGACTAGAAAATGTGGATTGCTATTGATGAATTTGTTGAAAAAAATAACTTTATTAATACAAGGGACGGGAGACCAAAGAGTCGATACAAAATGCAGGGGGAAAGAAATCAGAAACACAAGAGCACAATTGAGAAAATGTTGAAAATAATTATTTTTAGTAAAAGAGCCCAATATTGAAGTTATTTGAAAAAACTATAATGAATGTCCACAAACTTTGAAAATGCACATGCTTTTTTCTGGTCAACTGGTCTATAGCAAACAACACTAGCTCTGTAACTCAAGTCCTGCACATACTGCTTTATATTATCAAATTGGGCCTATAGGAAAAATTGTCTTCATATGACCCCTTTAGTAATCAAATCCTTCAACAATAAATCTGAAGATGCAAATAGGAACAAAACGTGTCCTCAAAATATACCAGAGACAGTAAACTGTAAACATCCATCACTAATTAGTTCCTGCTATAGGGAAAATACGGCCCTAATAATAAGGTGATAGCAAGGATACTGAGGAAATCGTATTGTTGAAATCCTTGATTTTCTCCAGTTCAATGGAATAATGATTGACAACAAACTCTGCATATGACTGATACTGTGCATACTAACAGGAACATCTCTCAAGTAAAAGTATGTCATTTCTGCAAAAGATGTACAGGCTTTTGCCTTAATCTATTCATACAATGGTCACGACCTGCCCCCCCCCCCTTACATTCTTATATGATGCCTTTGGCGACTTGAGAATCATATTGTATTTGTACATTAATTGTCGTGATCTAATAAAAGAATAAAATATACAATGATATTAACCGTTACAGTGATTAATTTACAGGTCAAGAAAGTGTAAATATATTGCTTTGGAATAAACCAAAGGATATAAAATTAGACTCCCATTTCCCATTAACTTTTTCTAATTGTGGTTACAGTTATTAATTACGTAGCAATGTCTATAAGATAAACAATGATATTAGGCATTTAAAGCAGTTCAAGATTGTTTAATGTGATCCATCACTGCAAGATATCATATCATATCCCTCTGTATTAGCAAAATATAGAATTCCTCCCTAGGTATAACCTCTATATACCAGGCCCATAGCAAAAACTGTCAAAAAGTCCCCACCCCCCCCCCCCCCAGGCAAAAGCTCCCCCTTGATAAAACCACTTTCCCTTGGTTAAAGCTTGCTACAGTCTGTATACACAGTTTAAACAATGTGGTGGTGAATTTGATATTGTCTAGCTTCATTTTTTATTACAATATGATTGTGATGGAAACATCTTCCGACGTACAATAAATTCATATAGTGCTGCCATCTTTGACGGTAAAATCCAAACATTTACATGGAAATGTCAAAAGCATGGATTCACAAGAACACAACCACATGATTATGAACTGACAAAATTATCAACAAATAGTAATGAACACTCCTTGAATAACACCATTGTGCTTATGGATACTTACTTATTATATTGCATAAAATATTTTTTCTTACCTTGATGATCCAGTATTAACCACTGAGTGTGCATCATTGGTTCCCACACTCAATCACAACCACAAGGACAGGTCTGAAGCTTGATGAAGCAAGTTGCTACACATGTACCTGGAAGTAAACAAAAAACATGAACATATAAATGCCATCTGTATGGATGTGTGTTAGATACGATTGTGATTGTGTTTTAGTTTGGGTTGTTATAGGTGTCGCTCTATAGCCACATGTTTTCATGTGTCCCACTATCCTGGAAATTTAATCTGTAATAAACGCACATTAACCTAATATGGTGATTAATGCCTTCTTTCGTAACAATTAACATTTTATAACCATAAAAAATGAACAATTAAATACAAGAACCTAATAGGATATGATATATAGTCTGTAACAGATATACATGTATAAAGATAAGCTAAAATGTTATTTACCCTAGTCTTACCATAAAATCAAATGTGGCGCAGCCTGTAGCTAAGTAGACATCGAGAGCATCTTTGGAAATCGTGATATATCAGACATGTTGTGGTTTGGATGTGTGGGTGAAGACATGATGTCCACATACAAAAAGTTACATCTAAAAAGTGGTTTTAAAAGTAGGATCACTTTTATCTTAATACTTAGTGGAATTACACCTATTTCATGGCTAAAGGCGTTTTCAAGGCGTTTTGGGTAACGTAGGCTAGAAAACCGCAATCCTGATTACACCAGAATTTTAAAAGCGCCTTGAAGACAACTTTTCGTGATTACACTTGATTTTTCTAAATGCTTTTAGACTGATTTAAGACAAAAATTTGCCATCAACCATCGCATTTGCATCAAAATCTGCTATTTAGATATACACTTTCAACCGTAGCGCCATCTCTGGAGATTCAAAATGATCCGATACTGTATGTTCATTTTTTCTTAAATCGTATTCAATCTACCTCTGGCGTTAATAAATATGTGCTAAAGAAAGCATGGAAAACAATGCACAAGCGCGCAAAGAGAGAAGCTCGGTCGTTAGGAGAGATCCAAGAGAGATCCAGTAAAATGAAGATGGTACTTTTGTTGGGGCTGTTTGGCATCCTTGGTAATATGGGACAGGAACGAACGATGTGGACAAGACAAAGATCTCGTCATTTTTTTTACTTCATTGTAGAGAGGTAATTTCAACTATTCAATCATCCCCTTCCCTCGCCTTCCCCAATCTACAATAGTACCGGAATTTCTCGTATATAAGCCCTGGGCGTATAACTGAAAGAAGGGGTAATTTCGTCCGTTATTTTATCATTTTTTATACGCCCAGGGCGTATAAATATAAGACTAGATTTTTGGCCCAGTGAGCGTCAAAGTGATCGAGAAGAGCTATTATCATAATATTAGCTACTTTCTTCTGTTCGGGATGCTGAATCATCAATATCCGTCGTCAATAGTATTATATTATTTATTTAATTTACGGTTATTCTATTTACAAATTGCGTTGTTCTTTGTAGAACGTGGAATAATGATGATTTCCGAAGGAACTTTCGGATGGGTAGAGAGACATTTGGCACAATATTTGAATTTTGTTTTTTGAAGTTTCCTCCACACCGGAAATCAATAACATGCTTGATGCTCATGCGCAAATATAGTTTTCGTTCAGTGTAAAATCGAGTTAAAGCGCCTTGAAAACCAATCGGTATTACACCTACACGTTAAACCGCCTTTGGGTGTGAAAGCGGTTTTTAATGACTAGGGGTCTGGGAGGATTACAAAAGCGCTTTTCTAAATCCGCGATCGTGATTACACCTGACTCTAAAGGCGGGTCGAAACCCGATAGGATTTTAAAAAGCGCTTTTACATCGTAGGTGTAATTCCACCTATATCTTTCAGTCTTACCGAAGGCGGTCAACTGGTGGCAATACAAATGGCATGTGGATGAATAAATACTGCACTCATCATATAGATAGATAAATACAAGGCATTAACATAAAAAATGTCACCACCTACCATTTGTCATAGCCACTGTCCATCAAACTCCGACCACTGTCAATAAATAGATGGACAAATGAAAGGGAGAGCAAAACCTGGGACTGGTTGTGCACTTAGCTGTTTCTTTTTCTTGTTGTTTGGAAATACATTTTAGTCAGCTACCTTTGGAGATTTTTAAAATATGTTTGTGAGAAATCATAAGCAGCTTTGTGGAAAAAGGAACAATGTCAATACTTGAAGCCCACCTGGACATTTGAACCCAGTATCATGGTAAACCTAATGAAAATGTATTTGAATATAAGTATTAACTTCTAAAACAGCCAGTGCAGTGAAGATGGACTAATATGTCAAGGATTCATGAAAATGACACAAGTGCTCAAGCTTATGACTGACATAATAATTCTTAGAATTTACATTATTTATTTCTACATCATTTGAAAGTAAATCTGAAAAATAATCGTAATATTAAGTCAACACAATATGTGTAAGTGCTATGATATTCTTTTAATTATGTACTCTTAGTCTGAAAACTGACACCATTTTGTGGGATCACATGTTGAACATCATTGTGCAATTTTTTTGATTCTTTTGACTTCCATAAAGTGTCCTAATATTTTGACATTGTTCTAAAATGTGTCAAGATAAAAATATGTCCAATTGTAAAAGTAGGTCAAAGTACAAATGTATCATATGCATGTATACGTATAAGCCATATAAAATACAATAGGATACCTGTGTATGATCAATAGAATTTGCTCACCATAGTATCACTATTTGAATAACATTGTAAGATTTTTTTCCATGTTTTTGCATTCATTGAGCCGCAACTGAGAACCAGCAAACCTTGGTTGCTGAATTGAAAATTACAATTAAGTTACATACACAATGTTCCCTGTTGTATTCAGTGTATTAGAAGGGAAAGCCTGTACAATTAGGTCATGCACACTATAAATGATAAGCTCAAAACACTGTGACTTCATACTGAATGCTCTTTCATAATCATATATAGCAAGTAGTCCATCTGATGCTAAGAGGTGTGGAGGACATTTATATATACTAAATGAATTGTACATCTATTGTGCTTTACAACATCTGATCTTACGTCATAGCCAGGGAGCTGAAGTCCTTGCTGAATAGAAATATGACCTCCTTATAGCATCAAAATAATTTGAGTGTCATCTAATTATTATAGGTAAACAACCCAAAACACCAGAAGTGGCACGGTTAACATGAATGTAGATCTGTGTCCATTATTTGTCTCATCAATGGTGGTATCCTTAATTAGTACTTCCTTCCAGAGTTTCACCTGGTCTGAGTTTGAATCATGTGAAAATCCCAGCTCCCTAGAACGCTTCAAGGCCCAATCATAGTCAAGTCCATAATAGTCAGCTGCAGCTAAAATTGCCCATATTCCTGAAATAAAAAAGGAAAGGTGAAGGCAGGCAAAAAGGAAATACAGGAGCTTAAATTGCCAATACTCAGGCTCGGAAAATAATGAAAACTCCACACAAGAGGAAAGAATCAATTTAAAGTTTAAATTTATACATCAGCAAACTAAAAGTTCTAAAACTAAAAATAACTTAAGAAACAATATTTGTTAAGTAAAAATAAATTAACATTTTAACTTTACCTGATCGGAATCCTGAGCTGCAGTGGAAGAGAACTGGTCCTCTTGCAATAGCTTCTTTTGTTTCAGTACGCATGGCACCCCAGCTTGCCACAGTGTATTTATACATAGTATTGGTACCTGCAAGCCATGCAGTTATAGTACACATGAACATGTTGGTGTTTATATCATTCCGTATTAGTCATTATTGAAGGAATAAAGACCAAGATTTTATGATTAATGGCATAATATATGACCAAAAATTTTATTCTGTTCATTGATAAAAGAATGAAATCGATTGAGGTCTTTGGCAATGGCCAGAATAGAATTTGAGGTCACATATTTGACATAAATCATAAAATCAAGGTCTTTGTTACGATTCTAATTTGATAGACAGACAAGTAAACACAACTATTTGCATTTGTGAATTTTAGCGGTCATACCTACTCCAAAATAGACCAGTAAATCAATTGTTCTAGCTATTGTAACGTCACGTATCATATTAGAATTCGGAATACATTTCATTTTCTAATCTCCACAGTTTGTTATTCATGCGGTGGAATTTATTTCATTCTGTATTGGTCATTTTGTTTACATTAATTAAGGAATAAAGACCAAGATTTTATGATTTATGGCGTGATATATGACCGAAAATTCTATTCTGTTCATTGTCAAGGTCTTTGTTGTGGTTCTTATATGATAAACAGACAAGAAACAACTATATAGACCAATAAATCAATTTTTAACATCTTATGAAAAATGGTGACATTGTCCTACGGAAATTGGTATTATGTTTCACATCCAGTTTGGACAATGATACTGTGTACAACACACTCAAGGAAATAGACTGTGCACCAAAAACAACTCAGACAATAGAATAATGAAAACACCTTAACTTCCTTTGTTTACATTCTCAAAAATGGGAAGAATGAGAAAATTGTCATAACTTATAGTCCAATTATCCAAAGCAATTTCATAACTTTAGACCTACACGATCCGAGCATGCCAGCGCGATTCATTATACCTCCAATCAAATGTTTTCAATGGTTAAATAGACGCAAAATTAACCATTTCCTATCATGTGATTTTGTGATCTTACCTGTTGGATGGTGATAGTACTTTAAACCAGCTGCCTCTACTGCTTGTCTTTCCATTGTTTCATTATACCCAACATCATCACCAAACTCAAGCTGGTTCCTAGCCTCATAATTAACCAGGGAAGTATTGGATATGTAAGTGTTGGGTCTGCTGGGATCAATTCGTGTTGCAAGTAGGCGTGTAATATTTTGCCTTCCTCCTTCTGCATATGTCCCGGTTTGGTCTCTGATGTTAAGAAGTGTCACTTCTTCCTGAGAAGGACCATAAGGTGTTGCATCTGGAGAAGATAATTTTGGTTAATATAGTAGTTATATATCTTATATATGGTCATAAGAGAGAAGAATGTTGAGTGATAATAACATTAACATGTACAATTGATAAAATTTTTAAGCAAATAGTGTAATATGAAATGTTTAAAGCAACAAACACGGCAATATAATAATAATGATAAAATATCTCTAATTTTCTTTGTATTTACCATGACGCCCAAAAGCAACTCCTCTCCGGTTGTTTATCAATGATTTGAAGCCAGTGTTATTCAATGTTGATAGACTTGTAGAATAAATCTGACCAGCGATGAAGATGTCCTTGTATACTGGCTTAATTTGCCAATTCCATGACCACTCCCACCCCATGGGAATACCTGGAACAGCCACACTTCCAATAATCTTCTCACCAGTTACCATAGAGATAGTTTCCTTCATTTCCGTATCATTAAAGTTCATTCCATGCAATGAACCTATCTCAAAGAAGCTTTTTGCATCAACCTTTGGAGAAAAACTTGTATCATTCCTGTACTTATTTGCAAAGTAGTTCATCAATGCAAACATGGCAGCAATGGTTATTTCACAATGAACCAATATTGGTTTGGGTAGTGAGTCAGCTAAAACTGTAAATTGACCAACAAACTCTAGATCCTGTTTCCAATTTCCAGATGGGGGAACCACAACCTCATAACGTATCCCAGCATTCTTTGCTATTTCTTGACAATCAGCTGTTGTTGGGAACTCTTCTAATCCATTTGTTTTAGGTTCAGTAAAGTTGACAACAGATAAAATAGATTTGAAACCATCTTCATGTGCATACTTTATTTGTCTAGCTGAAAGACGACCTGTTATGTAGAAATCATCTGTTATTTGCTTTGCCCACCAAGTTTTTCTCTGTGGGTTAGGTTGAAATGCTGCATCAACACTGATGATGACGCAACTAACCAGCAATACCAGGATTGTAGAATTCATTGTGTGTACCCCACGTATGCATCCAGTTATTATATCAGGTTACTTCAGTTTGGAATTATATATGCTGATATGTGTCTTCAGTATCTACAATAGAAAATCACAATAATATTTTATTGAAAATGTTGATCCTTTTCATGTGGATTTCAATATAGGTAAATAAAAATCTTATCACGGGAGAAATAATGTGGGTTTTATTTTCTTAGTCAATATAATATTGCTCCTTAGTAAAGAAATAAAATCCATATTCTATACAAATCATTGGTCTCTTAAAAAACAAGTTTGACATTTGAAAGTACATTGGATTCTGGACTTTTTTAACAAAAGGTTGTATTTTACAGAGAAAAGATGTATTTATGTATCCCATGTTATATAATATTACATATTATTATATCACTATCTAGCTAGCGACAGTATGATTGGTCAAAACCGGGTCACATGTCATGGGATATCTAGCGTTATCCTATGCCAAGTAGAATTTTAGGGAGATAAGTTGGTAAGATATATCCCGTATCCTGATTTTGAGGTTTCCATATCCAGAACCTCCATATCTCCCGCTTCGGTGCATATCTTCCTGCTTCCGGTGCATATCTTCCCGCTTCCGGTAATGCAATAAAATGACTTTGCATATGAATGATTTGTTTATTTTTCCACCTTGTAGTATTGAAATGGCCATATGCCCATGAAAACTCTACTTGGCATAGGATAAAGCAGTTATGTACGGTCGGTTTGGATATGGGGTTCATCCCTCGTGAGATATGCACATCTACCTTCGGTCCCTACGGTCCCTCAGGTAGATATGCATATCTCCCTCTGGATAAACCCCATATCCAAAACCTCCTAGTACATAACCCTTATATATTCAATGGCAATGCTAATCAGATAAGACAACCGTGAGATATCTAGCGATATCCCACGCTCCCGGGAATTTTCAAAGAATTTGTTTTCGTTCAGTGTAAATAATTTAGTTCAGTGTAAGTCAAAATGGCAGACGAACCGAGTAGAAATATGTATTTCAATGTTAACCTATGACTTAATAATATTAGGGATGTTTAGCTAGACAGTGATATAATAAAACAAATATTTCACTCTATTTTCGGTGAATACCTGTAGCACTTTCACAAGGTGAAATTCCACTTGCCCTTCGGGCTTCGTGGAATATCACTTGTGAAAGATGTACAGGTATTCACCTCAATAGAATGAAATATTTGTTCAATATTGTTTTTGTATTTGACTATGCCTGATATTGTAAAATATATGTATACAAGTAATTTATTATTTGTGAAAAATCAATACAAGCAAATTGAGCCACCAACTGAATTGATACACGTTTCTTTCTTTCTTATTGGGTAATTTTATAGTGTCGCATGATAGTGACGTGATATAAATGTATCTTAAAGTTTAAAGGCAAGCATTGAAACTATTCAAAACATCATTAGACTGAGATAGCTTAGCATATGAAGTATGTTTGGGTTTCATATTCATGCTTTTAAGAGTAATATGCAAGACCAGGGTAATTGAATATCTACTTTAGAACTCAATATATTCAAACAAAATTGGTAAAAATCATAAAAACCTTGAATGACCATTGTGTTTCTTTCAAAGGAGCTCAGCTAGTGACATTACAGCCTATTTCTTTATTTGAAACCTAAATGCCCTAAGGCATACCTAGGGTAGGAATATTTATGCATTTATCTTCTATATAATATATATTGTATATACTGTACAGACAGAGTTACCCTTGGCATGTTTGTGGCAGAAAAATACTATTATATTGTGATATGATTCATTTGCTGGAATTACACCAGAAAAAAACGCTTAGTGGAAAGCTCTTTGCAAAAATCGCCATCCTGATTACACCAACATTTCAGTTCAGCTCTTTCAGTACAAATGCTCTGCCCTAGTGATTAGCTTGTGTAATTTTTATATTACAACAATCATTTAAAGAATAGCCAGTAGGGAAAAAATCACATAAAAATACAGAATTTTTTTCTGCAAATAATTTATCAAACAAAATTGTTAATCTACAAAAGGATTGTGCACATGAACTTGTCCGAACTTTTATTGTACATGTAGCACCCATGGTTTTTAGTTGTATGCTACAAAAAAATGTATCAAAAAGAAGTCATATTAGGCAATTTGAGCAAATCATAAAATAAAAAACAATTTATGTAGAAAATACTCACGCTGATGAGAAAATAATGATGTATGCCACGCCTAAAATAAGTTTGACTGCTTCTCATTTGCACTCAAGGACCACATGAGGTGACTACATCTCATTGCTTTATTATATTAAAGCATTCAAATGAAAACCCATATAAAGCAATGCTGAAGTAACTGGTAATGTCTATAGAGGTCACAAGCATAAATCGTAGTTTGCACATATGTATTTTGAAGAGAAGTTTCTGAGCTAATCTTGAAATAATTAGCTCAGAATTATCTTGTGATAATTCCTTTGTGATATCATTATCTAGTTCTAGTTCATTAGGGCTCATCAAAATGAGTCAGGATTTTTGGAAATGTCTATCACCAATTTAACACTAAAGTATATAATATTCTATATAATCAGTACTTATTTATTTTGCTAGTGATAATACTTACAGGTCTATTCAATCCTTTTTACAAATCATATACCCTCTGTAAAGGAAAATAGGAGCATTGTACTTTACCAATCATATCTTTTTTATTTTATTATCATACCAAACTCTCAGAGGTATAATGTATGAATACTTTAACCAAATGGAGAAAATTCAAAAATCATGAGTGTGACTTTTTACCATAAATCGACGTAATAAATTAGAAGTTAAATTGTTAATAGTTACATTTAGAGGAAAACACCATTTTAGAAAGTTTTCAATTCAATAAAACTTTTTGAAAAATATCAGTTATAGAATGAACGTTTGAACAATTATAACCATTTTGTGATAGAATTTGAGGTAATATCCTTCAGATTCAGAGGTCTCTTCTCAGTTCAAAATGAGGGGTAAAGGTGACATATATTGCAATAAACTTGAAATTGTAAGATAAATATAACCCTTAATCTTTCTCAATGACCCATAAATATGTTATACATCCTATACTTAGCTCATGCATACCAAAATTTATGTCAGATGTGATATATAAATGTTTTTATTGAGCAAAATGGTTACATCCTATCCCTAATTTCATTGCCATTTAAGGCTTAAAAATGTCTAAAAATCATGTTTTAGACAGGTTTTGGCACCTCCATAATTTTCTGTAAGTGTGTCAATGTTTATTTCAAACTTGTCAGTTATGACCAGTTTTGAATGGGCTTTACAATGGTATGAAGAATATAACATATATAAGAGGATGATGTCCTAGGCTTAGAGGAAAACGTATTACACTGTATAATAGCAAAGTGTAATTTATGACGTAATTTAAAGGAAAAAGTCACATTCATGAGTTTGGGAGACACTTTATTTAACCATTGCTAACTTTTTTTGACTGTTCATCTAATTTTTTTAAATTTCTACCAGTTATTCACAATATTTATGCCATGTGCCTCCAAGAGTTAAATAATATTATACACAATTTTGAAAATGTTATGACTAATAAAGGACCATGCACCTTTTTCTTTACAGAGGGTAGGCAAAATGGTTATACATATAATAGAGGAATTTGTTCGGGAGTGAGGAAATGGTGGTGCGCGATGTGAGAATCGTGGTTCGAGTGCAAGGAACGTAGTTTGCAAGGTCAGAACTGATGTTTGCATTGGTGGAAGTCTAGGAGGCCTGTATATGCATAATGCTTATGCCATGATAATGGGTGGTGAAGACCCATTCAGAATCTAATAAGCATTATGATTCAGTTGTCTGTTTCATCACATTTATTTAAAACAGCTGTTTAGAACCAATTACAAGGGCTGTTGTCTAGGTTAGCATCATATGCTAGCAAATACATGTACAGTATACATTCACATATGTGGATATAACATTATTTCTTAGAGGTATGAAGATCAAAAATAAGAATTTTGATGTGGTGATAATTAAGTACTAACTAAGACATTTATGAACATGTCTTAGTTAAATAGGCTTACATAAGTTATTGCAATTTTGTATGTCTACAAGAATACTCAATCTTAATAAATGAATGTATGGAATGAATCATTTATAATCATTATATCAGTCTCCATAATTTCTTAAGTATATATATGTTATATAGAAGTAAAAATAGCTTTTCAGACAACTAGTTTGATAAAATGTACATGAAGTCATACATTTTAGATATCAAGTTCATTTATTGTATTACATACACTGGAATCAACTAAATATATATTTTTGTACAGCATGCAGTATACAATATTAAGGCATTACTACCTTAATACTCACTTTGAGTATGTAATCTCATTATTCCAGAAAATAACATAGGAATTAAAATCCAGCCTTGTCATCACCAGATTAACATTTTTATGGTCTGTCATATATTTAATATCCTTAATAACCATATCCCCTCAGTAATCCATCATTATATGCGTCATGTAATCTTGAAATTGGATTTCCAAATTACTGTTGTTGATTTTTGTGGGTTGTCATTGTAGATATATTCAAGTGATATTATCAGGATGCATCATCTAGACGTCTTTTCTTTCCTGAAAAAGGGAACACTCAAGACATTCACATTCTTGTTCTTTTATTCCACATGTATGTTTTATTAATAACATATTTTGCATTTTGATAAAAGTATTATATGTGATATACAATATATAATTAAGACAATAGTATATCAAATTGTTTATATTATATATCATACTATATAAGTTTTTACATGTGCAATTATATGGGTATGCCGCATCATGGATGTTATAAAGCCCCTTGTTCCCTAAATTTTGAACTATACTGGACATAACAATTTTTGATAGAACTTAATTAATTTTTTTATGTTAACTGATAATATATCTATCTAAATGAACAGTTGAAATAACATGAATAGTCACAATTATAATATTTGTGAATTATGTACAGTAATACTCTGAATAAAACATGCTTACATTTACTTATATTTTACAAATACACAGCAGGTAAAAATGTGTAAAACGTATGATTGTCAAGTTCTTAACTGCTTATTTTAAAGACACAAAAATATATGACATATTATTGAAAATAAATAGCATGTTATTGGAAATAAATAGCTTGTTATTACAATTAATAACCCAACAGACCTGCTTCTCCAATATAAGCATACAATGGCTACATAAATCCTTTTTAATACTGACATATTTCATAGATGGTGAATATATTATAAGATATACCTAATGTGGAGCATTATTCCTGCTTGGTTGACTACATGGTCACTTGGAATGAAATATAACTGTCTGTTCCCCATTGTCCTTGATTTAAGATAGTGTACATGTACTTTACAAAAAACAGCACAGTAAGAATATTGGCTGATGATGTCAGCAAACTGATACTGATTAACTGTGCTGTATTTTGATTTCTGACTTCAGTATTTACACTAACCCTGTTTTGAGTTATGTTACAAATACTATCACATTAACTGCAAACATCATTAATTCTGTTCCACTTACCAAAATGTCAGTAATAAACTGAATTTTCATATTCAACAGAAGCCTCATAAAATGATACATTTTATATATAAGAGGAAATTTTAAAGTAAAAAAATAAAGAAAATGGAACAGACTCTTCATAGGAACTAGTTCTATAATTTACTAGCCCCAACAAATGGTCATTCTAATGCTCGTTACACCTCCATTTTTGCTATGGAGAAGTGTCTGATTGAGAAAAAGATAAGGCCATGGTGTTGGGAAATATGTTTGCCCTCAGAGGTAGTCACCATTGGAATAAAATTAAATAAAATTCTGGCTACAGCATTTTGTTTGTTACTGATCTAATTCAAGATTACGCTAGACCATAATCTCTAAATAGAAGTTCTTTCTTCATGATCGGTCAATATCATGGTACATGATATACATTTAAGCAGCAAATGATATTTTTGCCAATGCAGAGACCAGGTAGTCTTAGTAATAGTTTGCAAACCAAAACAGCAAAAGTGGAATTGTATATGTAAATGACAGAAGATTTCCACTGCCTGTATTATTCTTATCTAGTACATCCTTCCAGAGTTTCTTCTCAGATGTTGTGAATGTATACCCAATCTCTCTAGAACGCTTCAAGGCCCAGTCATAGTCAAGCCCATAATAGTCTGCAGCAGCTAAAATTGCCCATATTGCTGAAAAGGAAAGGAAAGGGTGTAAAAACAATGGCCAAAGAGAAAATGTGAAAGGCATTAAAATCACGGAACATGTTATAACTGTTATACCTGTACCATCCAATGATCCAGCAACCTTATCCATTCTCCTCTTTATATTTTCTTTATATTTAACTAAAACTTAAGATTTAACCCTTTGAACAATTTTGAATGCATGTACAAATCAATATCTTTCTACAGAAAATAACATATAAAATGCACCCTATACAGACAGTGCTATACGAAAACAAGCTGTCTGGATATAATGTGCGCAAAGTGTGGATATTAACGGTCATTTTTGAATTTGAATTTGTGATATTTCATAAACTAAGGCATATATAGAGAAAAAAAGATAAAGCGAAAATATTCCAACATTTGAAATTATAGATGGTTCAGTTCATCTATGCATCTTCATTAGTTGAAAAATGATTTCAACATTACATGAATATCACATCATAATATAAATAAATGTATACCAACTAAAATACAAAATTGCAACAACCAGAGAAAATGGCATATTAGATAGTCCTATAGATTGTAAAATATGATATAGTATTTGTTATATATTTCATTGGTTTCTTTGAACAGCATACCCTTGCCCCAAGTCAGTCTCTTTTACTTATCTTGATTGCTATTATCACCGCCTTGTACCAATGAGTTGCCATGTGTTTTACTGACCCAATGTTTGTAAATTTGACCAATCACTCTTGACGAACAAATCTTGCACAATTCATAATGAAAATACAAATATTTTATCAGATAAATATCAGAGTTCAGTTTTAAATTAACATTAAAATAAAATTAAATCACATGATATAATTCATATTAATGCCTGCTTACTTCTCAATATACATTTAATGACAGAATGTATTGTAACTCTGAAGAAATACACAATCAGATCATTGAAAAATTCAAGTAGTAGACAGGTAGTTTGCTTTGTTTATGCAGGTAAACCTGATAACGCTTTGATTGGTCAATCCGCCTGAAGTCACATGATGTAGTGTCCACGCGAACTTGCCTATCAATACAGTTTCACTAGCACACTGAGAGTGGAACACTTCTCATAATCCTCTGAACAATTTCCTTCATTTATTGATATACTAGTATATTGTTCAATAGGGGGTTTATATTTACATTTAATACATAATCTACCTATCATTCATGAAATTGGATTTCATACAATATTACTAAAAGCATCTGTTAATAGGGGTTCATTTTGTAATTTGTGTTTCCTCTCATGTTGTTTTCTCTGAGCCTCAACATAGGAAAGCTGCCCAAGATTAAGAGGAGAATGTGTCAAATTCAAATCTGTCTTTTTGGTATATGCAAGAAAAAAATTGTTAAGACATAAGCTATGGTCCATTTTAAAGGTCTCTTTCTGCTTTTTAACCCTTTAGGACTTTAGATGTTGATATATATTGGATGTAGATTTACCTGAACGATATCCTGACCTACACTGGAAAAGGCCAGGTCCGCGTTCAATAACTTCTCTTGTATCAGATCGTAGTGCATTCCAACTTGCAACATCAAAATTATAAACAGAACCTATAAGCAAAGACTAACACATTACATTTCGAATAGAAAAAATGAATTTTATTTACTGAAATTATAAATATATAGGGTGTCTCAAAAAAATGTACCCAAAAGTATATCAACACCATAGACAAACCAATCAATATTTTCAGACATTTTTTGCATGGTTTTGTAGATAAAAGATGAAAGTTTTTTCCCCTATATACAGTTTTTAATTCAGTTTTGCCTTTTTGATACTTTAACCTGTTACCTTTCACACCACATATTCAATGTAACCTCATATTTCGATGACAGTCTGCATCCTGACTACTACATTGTTCATCACATTTGATATATCTGGTGGAATGTTTTGATTTCTGTTTGGATGCTGGTCTTAAGTTGTTTTAGGTCTCTTAGCTTGGGTTTAGCATAAAAATGATCCTTCAAATAGCCTCAGAGAAAAAAGTGTGGGCCGTCAAATATGGTGAATAGGGAGGCCCTCACAATGTCTTATAGCCCCCTTATACAGAGAGGTCAGAGGTTCAAGAAACTGCATTGCTTGGGATTCTAGTGTAGCTTTTGTATCAATTTGAGACCACTGTGTTTTCATTTGGATTTGATTTGGTCTCCAGGCTAGGCTGCCTAACTCTGGAAGGTAACTCCTGAATCATTTGCCGATAATTGATCTGATTATCTGTGTTTGTTCTGTCATCGTCATCCTCAAACATCTTTCTCTGTGGCTATTTGAAGGAGTGTTTTAATGCTCATTCCAAGTAAAAAGACCTAGAACAACTTAAGGGCAACATCCAAAGAGAAATCCAAAACATTCCACAGGAATTATTATCAAATGTGATGAACAATGTAGCAGTAAGGATACAGGCTGTCATCGAAATATGAGGTTACAGCGATTATGTGGTGTAAAAGGTAAAGGGTTAAAGCATCAAAAAGACAAGACTGAAATAAAAATGGTGTATTGGGGAGAAAACTTTCATGTTTTGGCTACATTTTTTGAGACACCTTGTATATTGGTTTTTAAAAATATCATGGCTTTAATATTGTTCTTATCAATATCAATGGCCTTTCTCCCACTTGGAACTTTTGATGTCATTTTTGAACAAATAATACAGTTTTCCCTTTGAAACAATGTGAGTTGATTGACAAAATGTGGCTTCAAAGTAACTTAACCTGTAATACTTTGGATTAGAATTTATTGAATGACCCTTGTAATTAGAATTATTTCCTGGCAAATTATAACATGCTGGTATACGATTACCTGTTGGATGGTGATTACCTGTTGGATGGTGATAATACTTGATATCAGTTGCCTCAACTGCTTGTCTTTCCATTGTTTCATTATACCCAACATCATCACCAAACTCAAGCTGGTTCCTAGCCTCATAATTAACTAGGGAAGTACTGGATATGTAACTGTTGGGTTTGCTGGGATCAATTCTTGTTGCCAGTAGGCGCGTAATATTTTGCCTTCCTCCTTCTGCATATGTCCCTGTTTGGTCTCTGATGTTAAGAAGTGACGCTTCTTCTTGTGAAGGTGTTGGATCTGAAAGAGATTATTGCAATGGACATTAATATAGCAATGGGCTTTGGATACACTAATAATCAACCTGCATTGAGTTTCAATTGTATTGCTTCTTAGGAATCAGTTAAAATTAAGTAAAAGTCCATCACTGGTACATCATTCTCATACTTTACACGTTTATGTTTTGTGAATGTGCTCAATTCCAATACTACTCTTCTTATCTTACATATATAATCATACTAACCATTGGGTGATAGAGTAACACCTCTTCTGTGGTTTATCAATGATTTGAAACCAGTGCTATTCAATCCTGCCAAACTTGTAAAATGAATCTGGCCAGCAACAAACATATTCTTGTATACAGGCTTAATTTGCCATGTCGGCCACCACCACTGTCCCATGGGAATATCAGGAACAGCCACATTTCCACTAATATCCTCACCAGTTACCAATGAGACAGTCTGTTTGAATTCAGGTTCGTTATAGTTCATTCCATGCATTGAAGCTATCTCAAAGAAGGTCTTGCCATCAACCTTTGGAGTAAATGTTGAATCATTTCTGTACTTATTTGCAAAGTAGTTTAGAAGGGAAAATGTGGCAGCATACGACACACCACAATGGACCAATAATGGTTTGGGTAGCGAGTCAGCTAAAATTGTAAATAGACGAACAAACTCCAGATCTTGTTTCCAATTTCCAGATGGGGGAACCACAACCTCATAACGTATCCCAGCATTCTTTGCTATTTCTTGACAATCAGTAGATGTTGGGAACTCTTCTAATCCATTTGTTAAAGGTTCAGTAAAGTTGATGACAGATATAATTGATTTGAAACCATCTTCTTGTGCATACTTTATTTGTCTAGCTGAAATACGACCAGCTGTATAGAAATCATTTGCTATACGCTTGGCCCACCAAGTTTTTCTCATTGGGTTATTGGCATCAAACGCTGCATCAATGGTGATAGCGCAAATTATCAGCAAAATGAAAACAGCAGGATTCATTGTGTACATTCTGCTATATGCGTCTGGTTGTTATTTTCATACACTTCAGTATAGCTTTGAAAACTGCTGGTTTTACCAACAAGTATCTGCAAAATAAAAGTACAATATAAATACATTAATCAACTGCATAAGTGAAGCTTTAATTCTCCTGCATTGGAATTCAATAAGGTATTAATAACACATCAAGTTTCCTGTTGAATGGTTTAACATTCTATTGATGAATATCTTCCTTTGATAAGTGTTCCTCTTGTATTTATTGGGTTTTTATTTGCGAGTTCTGCCTATATGTAGAGTCAATCTAATAAGAATATCAAGTTGTTGTGTACCGAGAATTACTTCACACTGAATTTATGCATTTTAATATTGTTTCAGAATACTTATCCAATATAACATATGACTTTATTCATTTAGATATATCAGCATATAGCATTTAAACTTACAAATCTCAGAAAATAGATTGAATTCAAATAATTGCTTCAGTGGCAACAAATATATATGATAATGAAATCAAATTGTTCAATAGAGGGTTTATATTTACATTCAATACATAATCTACCTAACATTTATGTTAACTCAGGGCAATCGGATTTCATGCAATATTACGAATATTATCCTTATTATGTCTAACATGAATCATAAATAATTCACATGTCAGGTACAACACCCTGAGACAACAAAGGGTAAAATGAGGTATTTCAGTTTAAGATTAATCATGTAATCAGGATGAATACCATGCACACCCTAAATATTAATCATACATTACATTTTTATTGGTTTTACTTAGAGAGTTAAAAAAACACCTTTGGATGCATAATGCCCCTCCCAAGAAATGTAAAGAATTAATAAAATGAAATAACAATTAATGGCAGTCAATGCTTAACTCTGATCCTTAAATACAAGGAAATTCAAGGTTGAGTTGATTTCCCCAGAGGGCCCATGTTAAAAAATTACAAAAAATGAAATATATTTTCTTGTATTAGATAGATAATATTTTCTTTCACTAGACATATTTTCAGTTATATAAGTATTTATCCACTAAATCCGAATTAAGGAGCATTTTTGTCCCTTATCTGCCATGGTCTACCATGTTTTCTGACCCGAATTAGCCACCTGGTGGTGGAATTGGTAACTACTTACTGGCACCTGGGTTATTGTTTGTACGGGGTCAAATTCGTATAGCATATCCTATGATTTTGAGGAATCAGTGATTATATCTTCAACCATTAACTGATTATAATAGCACAAATGGGGATGTCCAGTCACTTATTAATCATGTATAAAACAACAAATAAAATCAAATCTTCAAGCACAGTACAATGAAGCCATATCAAGAGAAGTTTTACATTCAATTAATTTTTTGTGGATTTCTTTAATTTTTTATTAATGTTACAGGGGTCTAGGTGATCTCCTATTTTGTATGTTGCTCATCATAAATTCTATGTACAGTTCCAGGTATAAAAAAGTAATAAAGGTATGCTTTATGATAACAGTGATGTAGCTTGAAGAGTTGTCTAATAGAGGGTAGCTTTACATACTAGAGAAACATTAAATGGATTACATAATATTCTATGTATTTTTAGAATTTCTAAAAAATGCACATTAGATTTCGGGTAAATACAGTAGATCACCAGAGATTAAATTACTTCACAAAAGTAGGACTAACGTCAACAAAACCATCCGGATAATGGGATATGTGTCAACTGTTGATTGCTTAATTCATTTAATTAGTACATGTAGACAATTCATAAAATCTCAATTAACCACAAAAAGTCACATACATGTTTTTGGTTAACTCATTTCATACTTAATTATTTCCACCCAGAGCACAGACAAGACAATTTAATTTCTCTGTTTCATAAAATCACAAAATTAAATCATCGATTCCAATTTGTAAATATAAAGAACAATTATTCATAAACTTACCTCTCTGACTATGGAAGTCTCTTCTATGCAATGGTTGCTGTCAACAATCTGATTAAACCAGGAGAAATCTGAAACAACAAATGAGATGTGAAAAAAATCCCACAATATATAATCTAAGAATGTACAAGTGTTGTTCAAAAAGTTCTGTACAAATATCTCTAATTATTTGAATAATAACCAATCTTGTTCATATCTGTTGGGTGAGTTCCCCAAACTTATAGACACTCAAACTGTCAAGGTTTCATAATATATGAAAACCACTGAACAGTTTTTATTTGATAAACTAATTTGACCAGGTCATGACTGGGTCAGATACTTTATCCAGTATTACTATAATAACATGTCTGTAATGCGAGAAGTCATAGCTGGTCAGAGCAGAAGCAATGCTCTTGTAAAGCAAATTTTAGTTATATAACTGTAGTTATTATTTGGCAAACTTTGTTTTAATAGCAAACAAAGTGTGTGTCACTTTAGAACATCATGATAAACCATCTGAGATCATGTTTCAGGTGAAACAGAAAGATTCTATGAGTATCAGAATGCTTTAAGAAAGAAATTAGGGATTTCAATTGCATATCTGTTGTACAACACAACTGAACATGTCTGTATCATTCTAGACATGCAGAAGATATTGAACATGCATCGTGGACCACATTTACTCATCATGACTCAACATTTTATGTTATCTAAAGACAGTGAAATCTTCATCAAAAAAAATTAGCACTCAAGTACATCTATATTTATAATACAAAAACATATATGTCCAACTTGGACAATCTTATTTTGAAATGACTGGCAATCATCAAACACAAATAAATTATTAACAAAATACTTACCAAGGAGAGTGAAAAGATAAATGCTCCTGTTGAAAATAAATTCCAATGATGTCTTATTTTATTGCTGCCAACAGTTCGTCTGAACTTAATGTTGCAACTGTTTCACTTTCATATTTTTGTAGAGGGCAAAAAGCAATCATATATGTCAAACTTGATATCTAGAAATCTGCTTCAGAATGCAGTGATGTGCGCTCTTAAGTCATTAAGGCAAAAGCACATGAATGCAATGCTATTACAGTGCATAACAAGCTAATGAGCTTATAAAGCTTATATAGCAGGTAACATATAACACCAAACTGTCCTTGTTACATCAGACTAATAACTTAATAATTGCAATGTACAATTGTACAATAGAAATATAAAACATTCAGTACCACATATTCTGTTCTTTGATAAGAGATTATTTTCAGGTCTTTTCAGGTCATTTAATTAAATAGAATTTTTTTGCTTTTAATGTGAGATAAGCCAATATGTACAAGTTCACCCTGTAGGGTTCACCCTATTGATATTTGACACTAAAATAGAACATAAAGGACATTGTGATATTTCACAAAAAAACTGAAAACAAAATATTGTGGAAATGTTATTTTAACTTTTAATGGCAATTGATATTTTTCATGGCAATATTTTGATATAACTATGTGTTCTATCATAATTTGTTAACAAATATCCACATAAAATCTGAAAAATGCTACCCATTTGATTAATTATAGGTAATTATAATATACAGAGCTATCAACAGCTTTTACGGTGAGATAAGACAATGTGACATGTACATGTATACTTTACAGGTAAAATGTCTGACACTAAAACAGAACATAACCAAGTCATAATACTCTACTCGTGTTTACAAGGACATTGCCCAGGGATCTTCACATTACATTGATAGACATTTGTCAATTAGGCCAGGATAAATAAAAATATGGTTTTGATTCTAGTTGAGAATCAGAAAGATCATTTCCTCATATATGTGAATCGGAAATGTTACAAAAATCTGCCAAAATAAAAAGTTGGTGAATATAACAATATGTCATCACTTCTGGTGGTGAAATAAAAATGGTGAACTTTCTTGAAGACATAGTAACTTTGCATAACCAGTTTAGAAATGACAGAGAATTTCATGTTTTATAAGCATCTCTTTTTTGTCAATTCAATTCAGATAAAATACACTAAAATACTGTATGTCTCATTTGTTTTTAAAATAAAGGAAAACAAAAATAAAAAGATGAGAAAATCTTATCAGCTGGAGAGGTAAAACTCAAACTCAAAACCGGACAATTGGCTAACCTTAGCCTTATTTAAGAACTTGTTGAAGATGACATGTATGTTTTTATCGTATTCACATTGATAGCTTTAACAATTACAAGCACAAACAAAAAATTGATAAAAATAACTCAAAACACAAAATAGACAAGGCATTGACATGAAAAAGGTCACGAACTGCCATTTGTTACTGATGCCAGTCATCGACCGCAGAACATCATTCAATCACACACCCAACCGGCGAAAAAGTTGGAGATTACAACAATATGACACAACTTATTGTGGTGACGTAAAAAGGTGGTGTAGAAGCTATATTCATGGACTTTATCATCAGACAGATCTGTATTTTGTGTTGACAATGACTAGGAGCAAGAAAGAAAGGGGAATTGAAAATCTCAACGCAAAAATACTGTCATCTTTGCAAAGGGATACAAAAGGAAAAAGGCATTAACATGCAAAATATCGTCACCTGTCATCATTTGTTACAGACACCAAACCCTGAACACCTGCCAAACACTGTCCACAAGATCTTATATTTAAGACAAGGTCACATAATGACAAACATGTGTGATTTCCCCTTTTATAGACTGTGCCCTATAATGTCCACTAGATGGCAGTAGCACTACATCATAAACAATCAACACAGAAATGTCTGTTTATAACATATAGCATTGTGAATGTGACAAAATGTGGCATACCCATATAAGAACAAAAATATATATTTCAGTTTAATATATAGGAAAACATATAAAGTCAAACACCTATATAGTTGAAGAAATCCATAAGTGGAACACTTTTCTCGTTAATGTAAAATGATCATCTTTGAGTGGAACCCAAATACACTTAATTACCAAAAGTGTTCCAAAGGTACAGAAGGTGTTCCACTTACACAGGTTTTACTGTACTCATTAACCAGCATAAAATAAATAACACTTACCCATTTGTTGGTGAGCATGTGCTATCATAAGTTCCCTTGTATTGTATTGGTGATGCCTAAAAGGGACATCTGGGTTGTCACTTGGGTTCATGTTCTTAGCATCATGTCCCTGATCCACAGCTTCTTGTACTTCAAATGTCTGGTTCCACAAGTCAGGGTCATCTGTGTAAAAACATCAGACGAGGCATTAATATGCAAAATGTCACCACCTGCCATTTGTAACAGGTGCCAAATGCCAACCACCAGACACCAACCACCAAATGCTGAACACCATCCACAAAAATGTTGGAAACCATAACAATATATATGTCACCACTTGTAATGGTGACATAGGAAGGATATAATTTTCAAAAATTAGTATTATATTATGGTTAGAAAGGAAAGGGCCTATAATTTTGGTAATTTAGAAATATTCAATTTAGTTATTTGTATCCATATTAGGCCTGAACAACCTACTGACTAAAAATCACTGTACACTGTACATGTACACAATTAATGTATGGACAATATCAATTGAATACCTTTGGATATCTCAAGGAATTTTATGATGCTAATCATAGGCTAAAAGGCATAGAAATAATTTTAAAATAAAGAGGGCACCTCAATCGATCTGTGTTTGTTTAATCTTTTTTATATGAGAATTGTTAATAGGATTCTACACCTGCTGCCATCTTTATATCGGCCCAAAACCTATGGTGCAAAATCAGTACATTTACATAGACTAAAAATGTGAATACACCACAATTAGTCTAAATGCTAAAAATTTTAAAAACAGTGTTTTATTCATATAAACCGCAACATATACCCACTAGGGTGTCTAGTGGCTTGTTTTTATAGTGTATATTATATAAGAATTATGAAATAAATAAATTGAATTGAAAAAATTGAAAAAAACAGTTTCAGTAGCATTTGCTATAGAAAAACCTTATTACTGTACGGTCTAGTCTTACATGAAGTCTTTGTACCACCCCCTCCATCTCTAATTCCCCTCCACAGATTACAAGGGTGGGAAGGGGGAAGTATCACAAGGCCTTGATCCAAGACTTAATGTTTGCTTATATTAAATAAATGAATTACCACAGAAGTCAGCAGGGATGAGTCTGTCCTGTAAAGGTTCTTTTATGTTATTATCTTCACTATTCATTGGTGTTGAGGTTGCCAAGGGAACAGCATCTATAAACATCAATAGTGAAAACATGTGAGAAAATGTGAAAACATACAGAGTAAGACGTCTAGGAGTACAAATATTAAAGTACTTAGTTTGAGCAAAAAGAAGAAAAATATTTCTTGGAATGTACAGGGTGGGCCAGGGACATTTTCTATATATTCAATTGCCTTTATTTTTGCAGTTTAATCCCAAAAATTAGGTAATGGTTATGAACTTCAGAAGATTATACAATGATGTCTTGAGAAATGAACCAAAATCATTCATTAAATCCATTTGCATTTTGAAAGAATGCAAGGAATACACAACCATTCTGCAATAGAATTGTACGGCATCATGATTTCAGTGTACGTATATCGGGATCTAGGTATCACAACGGTAAGATTTAACTAGACAAATTAGGTAGGCTTACTAGCAGGTGACCCAGGTAGGCTCTTTGTACTTGTATGTAGTTTTTGCTTCAATTTTTCTTGGAACTCTTGTTGTCTTTGTTTCTGTTTTAATTTTCTTTGTAATTTTGCAGCATCATCTTCCCTGGAAAAACATATACAAGGCATTAACATGTAAAATGTCACCACATGCCATTTGTTATAGACATCAACCACAAAACATCATCCACAAAAAGGTTAGAGACATATACAATTACGATCCACAAAAAAGTTGGATTTTTTCACAAAACGTGAAAATGATGTTTAACATAACATTATTTCTCCAAGATAGCAACTAGTGTTACATCAAGAGCCTCACCGTGCCCCTCCAACATTCTGTATGATCTTCTGAAAATGGGGGGGGGGGGGTGTTGAAGGACTTGGCGCAAGACTAGACTGCAATTTAGCATCTACTCACCCTGCCATATTCGGTATGAGAAACTCTCCTGCAGAAGTTGCATTATTATCTGAATCAGCCGATTTACTCCTAGATGTTGCTACATTTAATTGACCTGGATCTATTGACATGGTTCGTTTTCGGGCAACTTCACTCCGCGTTAATGTTGCATTGTCTTGTTTGGACACCAGAGTTGGTTTACTATCTAGATTTTTAGAAGTACCTGAAATGAAGTACATCTATATAAAATTGAAGGATTATCCTGAAATAGAGTCAGAACTGCAGGACCTTTAAGAAAAAAAGGCATGACACGTGTCACGTGCACGGAATGATGGAGGCGAAAATAAATTGTGAAAATCTGCATTACTTCATTCACGGGCTTTCTCTTGATACTTATTTTAAAATCAAATATCTCAATTCTTTTTTTTCAGAAAATAAAATTAGGATCATTAGAGGCAATTTATTGGTATGCATTTTGAAAATACTGCTTCTGACTTTTTACACCTTTCTCATGGCTCGTCTTTACCACTACCATTCCAAATTGATGTGATCTCTTCGCATAGGATGAACTTTACTCCAGGCAATCTGTGATCAAACTATCGAATCAATGAATTAATACCTGTAGCAGTTCCATCTATTTTAGACCCAGAAGCATCACTAGGCTTGGACATTACAGGGGTCCTTGTACTGCTAGTCCTACTTGCTCGTGGGATCACAACAGTGCTAGTGTCCATAGCCTTTTTAACAGGAGCATTTGATGACTCAGAATCAGATTTTATAGGTTTCTGTGCACTGTCTGTAGCTGGTTGAATGGTATCATTTTTTGTATTTTTGGGTGTTGTTTCTCTTGTAGGTTTTATATACCGAGCTGTGGCCACAACTTTATCTTCAAATGTGTGACGCATTTCTGTAGTATCATAATTTTCAGCTGGCTGAAATGATTTTTTAAAAATTCAATTTTCATCTAGAAATAAGCCGATCAATTTTAGATTCCAGTGGGTAGGTTACCTCCTTTTTACTCTAAGACTTTAATTTTTTCATTAAAACAAAAACATACCAGTATATAAATGAGTCACTACACTTATACAAAATCAAACTGTCTTTAAAAGCTATTTTCATGTCATTCATGTTATGTGAAAATAAAATTGAGATAATCTTAAAGTGTATGAAACAACAATAAATTTCAGATAATGTGCAGTTTGCACAATTATCCAGCACACATACAATAATTACATCAAATGTACAATAATTCAAGCAAATGTTGTTTGAAATTTTGTTAAGTAAATACATGAACTCTCTTACTGGCTTGGGTGCTCTGTTTATTGCCTTAAGATAATTCTTGTCCCCTAAACAATTCCCTAATGAGTTTCCAAAGCTTCTGAAATAAGAAATGAAACAGAATGCAGAAAATGAGACATAGGAGAAATTGCGTCTTTAGACTTTATGAATACATGTATTTCAAGTCACTTGGTAATCCAAGAATAACTGATAATAGACTGGGCGCTATGTTCCAGTACTTTCTCATTGTGAACAATATTCAACAAATATCTAAAAATTTGAGCAAATGGTGCAGAAATTTTTGATCAACCTTCCATACTATAAGTTAATCAGACAGAAACTGTCACGCGGTCCTAACTTCGACCGTTAATTTGAATTTTTGACCTACCAGATGCTTGAAAATCAAGGATTGCGAGTCTCATACTGCACCGTTTTTCTTCAAACTTATACCATTAAAGCAAAACAAAATTGCCCTTCTGTCAGTGCATTACTTTATTGTAAAGAGTCTCTCGTTCTAGCAGCATTTTTGGTCCCCAGCTGTTAGAAGGCCTTCTTACAGCTGGGGACCAAAATGCCGCTGGAAGTAGGGACTCTGTTTAAGAAAATAATGTACCATCAGAAAGGGATTTTTGTTATGCTTTGAATGGAACAAGTTTGAAGAAAAACGGTGCAGTATGAGACTCGTAATCCTTGATTTTCAAACACCCGGTAGGTCAAAATTCAAATTAACGGTTTAAGTTAGGACCGCGTGACTGTGCTATATCAAAATATTTTAATTCCAAACCAATAATCTTGAAATATTTGTAAAGGAAGAGGTGCTGTAAGCTGTGTACATGTATCTCTTCAGTTGAAATGACATTTTATCCATAAATCACACAGAAACGAGACTGTTCAATGCATTATCTAATGACCAATATCATATCAGAAAATTTCAACTTTTTGTGAAGTGTTGAACAACCTTTAGTAAATCTTAAGTAAAGAAGGTCTTTCTGGTTCATCAGAGTCTCTCTTTATCTAAAGCTTGTGAGAGATTCCAAGGGATGGTAGAAACTGCGGATCCCACAATGATAGTAGCTTACTTTAGAGCACGCTTTAGTCCATCTGTGACAGCTTCTTTCCTTGCTTTCTCTATGGACAAAGCCTTTGATTTCATACCCTCGCATACTCCATAGCCAATATCTTCATGGTAAACACCATCCTATATTTGAAGAAACATATGCATGGTTGATACTCTAACTATAATGCACAGGTAAAATGACTGTATATTTAAATGTTTTAATATGTAACATCATGTCAATGTAATATGCTGCACTGTGCTAAAATGTGGCACTGATACAAAATGGTAAATAAATAAATAACATAGTAACTGGAAGATCTAGGGAAAATAAGGCATCCCTGGAGGTTTAAATAAAGTATGAATACATGTACATGTATTTGGTACATTTTTTGTCAAATAAATGGGTTTCACATTGTTCGGCTTCTCTTGAAAGCCCAAGACTTTAATAAAAGCATCACAGACAGGATATATTGTAGCAGATGCATTAGTATAAAGGAAACACCATTGTAACACCATGGGATTTATGGTCAAATGGGTTACCCATTCTCAACATTGTCGCTTAAAATATAAATCTTGCAATTTCTATAGATCACACATACCTTTAGTTGAACTTTGACAAATGCACTGACTCCGACATAATACTTGCTATTGTAACTATCTACAAAATCTGGAAAAAATAATATAGAATGTATAACAATGTATTACAAGATGTCAACAAAATGTCACCATCAGATAAGTAATTGTATATGATTAAAAGTGTAACGATTTGCTACAAATGTTAATTACTGAAAATACTAATGTGGTATATCACCACATCATAGTGGTCAACAGAAAAATGATCAGTTTACAAAAGTGTACTTGATCCAACATGAAAAATCAGCAGAAAAAATTGATGTATAGTGTGTGTGCAAATCATGTATTGCATCTAATATGCTCTTATATTCAATCTATTTAGTTTTGTATCATCTAATTTAGATTCTCTGTTTGACAGTTAAAAAAGGTGTTCCAAAAAATAATAACCAATTACAGTATGTTACATAAAGGACGATTCTCGGTTTGGAGAACAAAGTTCATCAATCTAAATGAGCATTATCCCTGCTTCGGACAAATTTGATTTTTTTACATAATATAGATTTGAATGTCTTCTTTTGAATAGTCATAATTTAATTTGGGTAATATTTCTAGATTTTTCGCAAAAAAATATTAGCGCAGTACACTGATGAACTTCTTTCCCCAAATCGAGACTTGTATTTTATTGAATCGGTCTATTTGAGCATTATCCCTGCTTCAGACCAATTTGTTATTTTTACATCTTTTAGATTTAATTGTCCTCTTTTGAATATTCATAGTTTAATTTGGGTAATATTTCTATATTTTTCATGAAAAATTTTTTAGCCCAGGAGGCTGTTCTCCAAACCGAGAATCGTCCTTTCCAGCAGTTCTTAAAATTCGTAAAATCTTAGCAAAAATCTGGAAAATTAAACAAAAATCTGAAATTTCTCACCAACAGTCTGATGTGTGACAGAGTGTGACCAGCCATTGAAGCCAAATGTTTCATTAGCCAAATTAATGAGACGCCATCCCTCAATGTATGCTAGCTGAAAAAAATAAATTTATATTACTAAAGAATTCATTTCAAGCATACAAGAAAGATGGCATTACAATATACAGATAAATCTGTTGACCAAATATAGTAAAGGACTATTTTAAAGAGAGCCAAATCTCAAAAGGTATAGACTCAAACTAAGGGGGAAGGGTATGTCTAAACATCAAATGAACATAAAATAATTTTAAAAACAATATGTTTACATCCCATTAACAATAGAGTCAAAATTAAGTTTTGGTTTCATCCAGTGTATTCAATATGTCAACTACATTGCATGTAACATTCTGATATTGAACAAATATTTCACTCTATTGAGGTGAATACAAGGCAAGTGGAATATCACCTTGTGAAAGTGCTACAGGTATTCACCGAAAATAGAGTGAAATATTTGTTTTATTATATCACTGTCTAGCTAAACATCCCTAATATTATTAAGTCATAGGTTAACATTGAAATACATTGAATCTACTCGGTTCGTCTGCCATTTTGACTTACACTAAACTAAATTATTTACACTGAACGAAAACAAATTCTTTGAAAATTCCCGGGAGCGTGGGATATCGCTAGATATCTCACGGTTGTCTTTTCTGATTAGCATTGCCATTGAATATCGCCAGATATCCCACGACATGTGACCCGGTTTTGACCAATCATACTGTCGCTAGCTAGATAGTGATATAATAATGTTACATATTGGATGTATCCTTGTATCATATTGTACTTGCCTTCTGGCCTCCAGCGCCAGCTCGTTGGCTTATAAACTCTGGTCCAAGTTTTTTTCTCAGGGCATCTTGGATAGCAACATGTTCCTCCTTGCTAAACTCACTCTGAAATCAAACATTGAAATGTACGTAATTCCATTTAGCATAGAAATTCAAAGGACTCTCTCTCTCCTTCTACAGTAAACAACATTAATAACCTGTAAAATAATATGTGATTTGTGAAAATAAAGATTTAATAAAAAAAGATATTCAAAGGACCAGGTTTTGTTTGGCAAATAATTTCAAACACTCATATCTTTGACCATGAGTATTTTCTGACAATAAATAGAACCAGTGATCTTAACAGGATTTTTTCTCAAGTGGGTGCAAACTTGATTTCACAATTCAGACCAAAATTAGTCAAAATATGCCAATTTCAATTTCAAAATTATTCTCATATTCAAGTGGGTACAAACAGATTCTCAGGTGGGTGCAAGCCTATCATCAAAATATCAGGTGGGTGCTGTGCCCACTTGCTTCAATGCTGGGATCACTGAGAACATTTTTCAATAAAAATACAACAAAGATAAATTATAAAGAAATGATTGTCTAAAATAACTTGCCATACCATACACGAGTCTTTGAGTCAAAATGATTCAGATAATTTGATTCAAATAAAATAAAATAATTCAAACTGGAATAAAACGTTTCTATATACATGTACATGTATATATTTTCATCAGTTCATACATCTTAATTTATTTCGATGATTACCTCTCTATTAACCCAAATTAGTAAATAAATCTTGCTTCAGTTAGTAAACAAAATCATTAGCACTAGTTCCTGTTTATAAAAGATGCGAAATAGTATTTTTTCCTAACATTGATTAGAACGTGCTCTGTGATAAGCACATCTAGATTGGAAGGTGATATAAAATAGCCATGACTAATGTGTTTTGCCATGAATAATGATCCCTGTAATACGGGAAAGCTTATCAGAACTCGATTGTAATTTACTATACTGTATATCAAGGGATTAGGGAGCTCACGCCTGTTTAGAATTAAGAGAAATTATAACGACGCAGACATACACACGGATGTATAAGGGGGTTAATTATTAGTTCGGTTATATGAAAGGGCATTGCAGTTGCGGATGTTTCCATTAAAGATCAATAAAAATATGATATGCTCCTTTTAGATGATTTCCTAGCTATCAATTGTCATTATGGAGTATCCCTTGGAATGTTTATGGTGAAAGAATTTTATCGAAGCGAAGCTCAAATGGCTATTGGGACCACCTGCCGGGTTTGAATTTTGAAGGTCCGAGAGGATTAATGATCTACATACCTATTAAATGGATGAACACTTTTCAAAACTGATTAAATGGTGGGGAAAAGATAAATCAAACTTAACGAATGCTAGAATCAGTAATATGGAGGAAGGCAACTAGAGTCTAGACAGAAGCTAACAGAAGAAAATGATTCTCAAGATGGTTAAAATGGCTCTAAAGATTAACCTTTGTGCAGTCCATCATTTTATCACCAAAAATGGCTGCCAGAAAATAAGTAAATTATGCTCGCATGCTGACAAGAAACAAAGAATTTAAGTCCATTGGCCTAATTGCAGAATACACATCGTAATAAGAGAGGGAATAACACCCCATCTAGATCCAAGATCTTCTTGTAAAGATGAACTTTAAATTTATTGATCTATGACTGACATCAATCATGTCATATCATCGCTATGAGGCAGCAAAAGTTCTATGGAAAAATATTGATTTTGACATTTTTCCAAACAAAACTTTGAAAATGAAGTCAATCAATAATAATACATGTAAATATATTGCATTTATCCAGAGTGCCTATTTGAATTTGCATTACCCTATTTTTGGATCTTGCCTGTTGATTCATTTCACCATTTAAATTCAGTTATTGAACAGTTTATCTATTATGAATGATCTCACATTTCTACAGTATTTTCACAAAGCCATCTAGATAAGGGGCCGGGTCAATATTTCAATGTCTGTCAAAAAACATAACTAATTTTGACCTTGCAAAGGTCACTGAAGGTCAAATCTTTAATATTAAGTCAGATTTGATCTTCTGAAAACTTGTAGAAGATTTTGAAAAAAATTGAAGTCGGTCTAAACAGTATTTGTTAAGTTACTGGAGGTTGTAAGAAGAAAGTTTGAAGCAAGTTAAAAAAATCTTTTGACCTTGAAGGTCATTAAAGGTCAGATCTCAAATCGTTAGATCTGAACTTCTGATAACATGTAGATGATTTTGAAAAAAACATTGGTCAATTTGAAGCAACTTGAAAAAATACCTTTTTGACCTTTTTTTACCTTGAAAAGGGCACCAAAGGTCAATCTTAAATATAAAGTCAGATTTGAACTTCTGAAAACTTGTCCATTTAAAAAAATTGAAGTCAGTCTAAACAGTATTTGTTAAGTTATTGGAAGTTGTAAGAATTTGTTACAGACGCTAAACCGCCAACCACCAACCACCAACAGCGCCAACCGTCGTAAAAAAATGTAGATTAAGCTGTTGCGCAATAGCAATTTTGATTTTGCGCGCCTATGTGGTTACCAGAAATCGAAAGGTCAGAACAGAAAAATAGGATGGACAGATGGACAGAGAGCTTCACTATAGCTTACGAACTAAGTCCATTGATGCCTGTGATTCAATGACAATGTTCACTCACTGACAATATTGAAGTAAGCTTGGCTTCTGCTCAAAATTCACAGATGGTAATCTTTACAGATCTACCATTTGCATTCGTTTGACTTCACTTCTAAAAAGTAGGGATGGGACTGTTCATTTCGGTTCGGTTCGGATCCAGACAGCAGACGCCAGACTGCAGACGCCATATTTGAATGTATTGTGGGTGCGCACAAAATAATACCCTATATCGAACCTGCGCAAATATAAATTTGCGCAAATCTTTGTATCAATTAGCCACGTTATAACAATATTTTATAGATGGAATTTTATGTTATAGTATTTCATGAACAATACATATTATTTAGAATACACGACTAAAGAATATAGTACCAGGGACCACATGATTGATTACCAAGGGATACGAATACGCGGATACGAAACGAATCTAGTAAACGAGTGAGCTAGCAACAGACAAGACAGACAAGGTAGGGACTAGGAATATCAAAAATGTTGCTGTAAAACAGTGTTTTTAACTGTTTTATTGATACTTGACCAATGAAATATTAATCCGAAAACGATCCGAAAACTATCCGAAAAGCTGATCCGAAAGTAGGGCCGTGATCCGAAAACCGATCCGAAGGCTATGAACCGCGGTATTTCGGTTATCCGTCCCACCCCTACTAAAAAGAGAGCTTCATCTAATCATCTTCACTCTTTCAGTTTACTGAGCCAATCAGAGTTTGTCATCAAAATACGGACGACTTTCTCTATGGTAATTTTGTCTGATATCAAAGCATAGTTAGATCTAATGAGCACATTTTTAACACGCGTTCCTTCAACTTCGCTGATTGGTTGAGAAAGGGGCAGCGTGGTAGATTTTGAATGATTTATTACCCGAGCTGTCACAGGCACCAATCTTCAGGCCTGGGCTGCTAAACTGTAGTATAGTCCATACTAGGCAGAGGGTAGTTTATAACTAGACTCTGCGCGCATGGTGCTACAGATAAGATCAGACTCAGAGGCAAATTGAATTGAATGATCATGGGACATTATCATGAGAATGAAGATAACACTTGATATGACCCATAATGAACATCGTCAGCTTGTTTAGAATAATTATAACTACCTTTCCAAATGCATAGTTTCCATTTTGATTAGAATCTTGATCCCCCATAGGCGTAAATTACATAAACTTCAAGCAAACCAAAACACTAAATTGCTTGCGCAGTGAAAAATTATTTTGAATTTGGTGCGCATTTAGTGACAGACAATATTGTGCTTATTTTATTTCCACACAATGTATTTCTTGGCAGCTTCACATAAATAAAAAGCAAAATAATTCTTTATATACTATTGTTTAATTGTAAATTATATATTCATATAAATTGACTGCGTATTCTAATGAATAACGATTGAACCGGAAGTAGACAATTTTTCATAAATTATTCATGTCATGAATCAAAGGAAGTCAAAATGTGGAAGTTGCTTTCAAAATTCTCTCCAAAGAAAGTTAGATATCTTCTAAACCTTGAAATTGTTGTTTACAGAAACCTAAAAGTTTGAAGATAAACATGTATAGGATCAATGCATTATATTGGATTTAAAATCTCAATGGTATTTACGTAAGAGATAAGATCATTACAATGTACAACCAAAGTCCAAGGGGATCAAAAACAGAAATGAGTTCCAAGCCTCCAAGTGGCTCTGGTGCTGCAATCACTGTTATGCGCTCTGGAGCAAACCAGTCATCACCACGTTCTGTTACTTCACAGTCTAATATAACTCTGTCTCCAGGAAGTAGACACAGAAGGAAAGGTTCGACTGGAAGTCAGGGAAGCGCAGGTCGAAGTAGTCCTTTGACGTTACAAATGGAAAATGTGCAATCAGCCAATGCTGGGTATAACTGTGGCCAGTCTTATATGGGTGACAGCTATGGAAGCCTGGGTTCTACTCAAGGAAAAAGCCCCTATCAGAGCCCTGGACACAGTCGTTCCAGTAGCATGACAAGTATGAGAGGAATTAATGTCAATTTAAGAGATCGCTCATTAGATCGTGATGGAAGCCTTCCTCGCGATCGGTCTTTGGAGCGACCACATGAACGTCACAGACTTATGGATAGAACCGTTCATACACTCGGCCGTGATCGGTCAGTTGAAAGAGATTACCCTCATATGGGATCTAAAGCCTTGGAAAGGGAACACTCCTACCCTTCCCTGGGGATTCGTTCTCCAACTTCATCTGCAGAACTTGACTACTCTTCTACCACTAGCCTTTGTCAAGATTCTAGACAATTCAGAGACTCGTATGTGTTAGATCTCCAGGCCCAACTCACGGAGCTATCCAAGGAGGTTACTATGCAAAAACAGGAGCATGAATCTACCAAGGAAAAACTAAGCTCTAGTATGAACAGCATTAAGACCTTCTGGAGCCCTGAATTGAAAAAGGAAAGGTCCCTGAGGAAAGAAGAAAGTGCCAAATATAATCAATTACACGAACAACTGAAGTTAGCTCAGGCTGAAAGTCAGGTCAGTGTCAGTTTAACTTTATGCTATCTTAAGAGTCAATTATCACTTAACAACTTTGAGTATACAGAAATGATAGAATGTATGTTTGAATCTCATGTAAATTGTAGTTGATGAAATTATGGAATTTCAATAGCAAGGGTCTAAAGGCATTAGTGAATGCCCTGTAGTTTCATGTATATACTCCTCCCTATCACAGATTAGTGTTGATGCAAGACTATTATTAGGGTCTTTTTGACAAATAGGAAATATTCAGTATGCAACTTATTTGCCACAAAAAGGAAATTGCAATGTTCAGGCAGTAAATTATTAAATTTATATAGCTTTTCTACATGCTAGCACTAAATCAGGCCCTGGTTATAATAATTGGTATATTATGCACTACAGTGTTAATTGCATATTGCTTTCATTTTTTGAAATATAGAAAAACCCTTAACCAGTTAAGAAAATCTCATGTCCTCTTTTAGAAAAAGAGCAGCAGAATGGATGTTCTTTAGAAATGGTTTCAAAGTACATGGACAAATATTCAATCAAGTTTTTGAAATCTCTTTATTCACCTGTCAGGGTTGTGTACTTGGCAAGTGGGAGAGAGGGGTGTTTTAACCCCACATCCATTTTTTATGTAGTCTTTTGTTCTCTTATCTTAATGTGACACTCCCCTAGGGGAACCTCCCAGTCTGATAAATGATTATTTTACATCAATATTTAATAGTACATGTCACTTTGATATAATCACAATAATACAGCGTATTATAGATGCTTTATAACAAAGATCTGACAATCGAACATGGATCTCCAATAAGCTTAATTGATCAGGATATTGTTTTTATAACAAAGTGGAAAATATTTTGTTTAGCTTGATTCTAGAGTCCTTGGGGCTTTGTTAATATAGCTACCTTTTCTTAAGGTATTAGGATCTACCTGTTAAATGACTCAATTGTATGTTCAGATGATTCAATGAACATGTAGTCTTGTCTGATTCATGTTCTGGCGCAGTGGTGTCTTTCTGTTTAATAAAATCTCCAGGGACAACAAAGAAGGTGGTAACATTGTGCATCACAAGTATTCATTAGCGATTGACAATGGGATGTTTTCTCCCAGATTTTTCCAAAGTCACCTGTTGTTTTTTTAGGAATTTTGCAAGTGTGTTAATATTATAATTTACAATACTTTGGTTTGTTGTTATGTCACCACCAGAAGGGGTAACACATTGTTGAAGTCTCCAACTTTTTTGTGGATGGTGTTAGATGGTGTAATGTTGTTATTATCTTGTTATATACTACCTTGTCGACGCCTATCTTGGGTTCTGGACATTATGACTTTAAACTTTTAGTTCCATATACATTACAGATGGTTGGTGTTTGGCAGTCTGCATCTGTAACAAATGGCAGGTGGTGACATTTCACATGTTTAAAATGCTTTGTTAGTATTTGGCTCTGACTTCAAAGTCAATGCAACTGGAACACTGTGATCCTAAAGGCATAACACTTCTACAGGTTTGTATACAAAATCTGATATCTTAATTGCAAAGTGGAGTATAGAAGCCTGACATTATAATTACCTCATAGTCCCAGACCTCAGCCTCCATTGTCTTGCATGAAGACTATATTGATCAGAGGAAATTAATTAGCTTTCATTTTTATGAAAGAAAATTGAAGGCCATATTGAATTACCTCAGATTTTATGATTAAGTGAAATGGAATCTGTACTGTAAGAGACAGTTACATCAGTGCATATAACGATTGATTGTGAATTGTATGCATATACAACTAGGCTATATATTTTTTTGCTTGCAGTTTTTTTGTTTTATGCTTTGTAGAATTCTTATCGTTAAGCATTGTGCAGAAATAGTTGTAAATCCATAGTGATATTAAGTACTTCTAGAATACCATTCAGTATGTTCACTTTTTGTGTTCTCATATCTGAATTGTCAAATTTGAATTTCTGAAACTAATGTTTCATACCCTGAGACTCACTGTAGAGGCCAGAGTAGCATGAATGTACATTGAGAGCCTCTAGCTCAAACTTTGTCCCCAGGGGAATGATTATAACACAGTAAATTAATAATATTCCATTCTTGACCAACACTGATACTTAGCCTGACCCTAATAGTGGCATAATCTAGTGTCCATAATCCATGTGAAGTCTGCAGATTAATTTAATCTGGATCTCTGGAAAATGTCACAGCCAAGTAATAATATGAAACATGTTCTTGGTTTGTATGATTTTCCCAGTACAATACATTACAGATACACATTTTACAACTAACATTACAGACAAATTTTGTAACAGTTAAGTACTTCAGTACAGTTTAATTTTAGATACAGTACAGTTTGGTATACGATACATGAAAAAAATAGTACCGTTTGGTATGAAATAACAGATTAGTATGGAGTACATTTTGGTTCAGTATTAAATACAGTTTAGTGTGATTTAATATAACAGCAGTCATTTCTTTGAAACATAAAACATAATTATTTTACTAACAATGGAATAACTGCCTTGAAAGGCGCATTCAGAATTGACGCTGTAGAATAAGAAATGAATCGAGAAATATTTCAGTATAAGTTTGATCGAAGAGGGTTCAGGGATCAATTTACTATAGAAAATATAAGTAATTACATTAGTGTGAGGCGGTAAGGTCCCACTTATGTTCCTTTAATATCCAGGAAATTTATTTATGGAGTCAATAGTCAATAATATACACCCACAAAGATGTACGATTTGTACTTATCTGAAAAAGTACAAGAAAATTTCCAGAAAAGAACGAAGTGAAAAACCACATAGTAATAGAGAGTGAATATATAATTTTTCTGGAAATAAACCCAATATGGTGTTGAGAGAGAACTGCCCCTACATATAATAGTACAAACTCGCAAAATCAATTATCCCAAAAAGAATAAAAAATTGTTCCACAATTTATGATGCATTGCATATCAACATAGCATACTTTTGAGGGGGGGGGCAGGAAGCGGATTGACCCAGAATGTTATAACTTGTTTTTTATCATAAATCTTTATATCGACAAGTTCGCATGTAGGAAGTACATGTATATTATAAGATTTCAACTGCCAGACAGCAAGGAATATGGATTTTCTTACTTCAGGCTATAAGACACATCAGAGATTAATGATTCGTCATAATTCATACTGAAGCGAAACATAAGTTCGTAATTGAAAAATCTCACGTTGATAGGTAAAATGCCAATATGGGAATCACAACATTTCTCATGGAATCATTTATTACAACTTCTTGTCAGTTTACGTTAGATTCTGTAACTCATTTTGGCTGTGCATATTGCAAAATTGTGTACCTATCAGCTTACAATCTAAATTAATGCCGTTTGTCAAGCAGGTGCAAGTCTGTCCTTTAATTGACTCTTTAATATGTTCTCCATGTAAGAGAGAGCGGGAAGCGGAGTATTAGGGGCTGCTGTTAGCATTTCTATGTTACCATAGCTGCCATACATTGTACATGTATTGTTACTATTTACCATTTTTGGGACCAGTGTTCATCTGATCCATCTGTGACATATTGTTACACATTTGTAACCTTTTGACATTGCATAATGCATTGTCCTATAATTGCTATTATAGATGCAAATGCTTGTACATGATTATATCTTGAAAACAGAAACAAAAGACCATGATAAATGATGACATCTTCCCTCTCAAATCTCGAGATGATTGCAAAATATAGAGATACATCTCTGACTAATGTCTGCGACTTATAATGTTAAACAAAGTCGCCTTTTTGGAAATTTTCTTTTTACATATATTATTGTATTAAATAAAACATGATAAATAAAAAACAAACAAAAAAACCAACTAATGTCTGTGGCATTTCATCTCAAAAGAACAGTACAAGGTCATGATGATACGCAACACCATTTCTTTCTTACAATAGAGTGAATCCAAATGAAGAGATTACCATGGTAATCCATGGCACGATAAGTGTGGGCTAAGTCGGTATAGGAAAAATGTGATGATCATAGAGAAGTGAATAGAATGAAACCATGAGTGATCTTGAACTTTGATATCTGATGTCAGTTCGTCACAATCTATTCTTGATAGACTCATAAACAATTATTATTAGGCCCTTCTAGAATTTCCAGCATCTCACATTTTGTTTACCATGTATCATATAAGTCAGAATTGGGGATTCTATAGTGGTGATTTTGCTTCAGCTTTTTCCTGGATTGTAGGTTTTTTTGGCCGTTTGTTTTGCTACATTTTTCAAACAAAATAATTTCCAGAATTACTCTCATGCTGATTTTGAGTCATCCATCTTAATATCCTTTGTCTTTTTTTAGTCAGCATATGTAATTGTCTCGAATTTAACATGTCTAGAATTAACATGTCTAGAATTTAGCATAACTTATGTTTTCCTTCAGAAATACATGTGATTAAAGAGTGTATTAGATTTCCTAATGGTACAATCCAATTCAACTCGTTATTTGTAGCAGTGAAAAATGGCTGTGCAATCCTAAAATGGTGTTGCATTCAGTCATCTCACCCCCTTCTCATTCTCTTATTCTCTCCCTAAGCCAGGATATTAAGTTGAAGATTTGGGGGAGCAAGAATAGAGGCAACATGCAAAACTACATAAGAATTTGTAGTACTTCAAAGTATGGCACACACTTACACAGGCAGCTGCCTCCATATAAGAGTTAAACTGCTCTCACCACTGCTTCAAGCCAAAGGTCTAACTCTGATCATGCCAACGGAGTAACAGCAAGAACATTCTATGATGACAACTATAATGATTTATTTACTCTTTTCCTGGTGATAAAAATAACTTCAGATATTTATTAATTGTTTTTAGAATGTTAGTCCTGGTCAGGTTTACTTACATGTTGAAAAATATACGAGGGGAGACTTAAAAGTTTTGGACAAAATTAAGCTGTGTAAGTGGAACAGTCAATTTCTGTATGCCTATAAAATATTGTCTATTACTGTACTTTTGAATCACCCCTTGTACTTGTTTATTTTAGACTGCTCATG